GGCTTATGTTTCTCTCTCATAGTACCCGTTTAGCTACATCCCATGTTTGGGTGTCAAATTGCATTTTTGTCTGATTCTTAATATTGTCTCAGTTGCCATTCTTATTAAATGTTTGACACATGACTTACGTGGAATTAGATTTTAAAGAACTGTACATGGTCATATTTTTGTAGTAGTATAATTACTTGTAGTGGAATGCATAAACCTTATGAATGGGATGGTTTTGACAGATGTGTCCATTCAGGTAACCAGCACCTCATTTAAGAAACAGAACATTTCTCTCATTCTGGAAAGTTCCTGCATGTATCTTGGAGTTTTATAGTTGCCTTTTGTTGTTGGCTTATACTTTTTTCCTTTTCTCTCTCTGGCAGCCTTTCACCGATGCTGAGAGAAGAATTGTGGTGAGCTGAGCGCTGAAAGGACAAGACCTAGGCTGTGTTGCGGCCACCATGAACCCAGGGTGAAGCTGTTAGTGCCCGGGAGCTGGGAGCATTGACCGAAGGGTCTGACTGCCTGGGTTTGACCAGTCTGCCTCTCTGTTCTCCATGACTGTGGGCAAGTTGCTTCCACTTTCGGTGCCTCCGTTTTCTCACCTGTAAAACGGGCATAATAAACATTTTACAGAGGCTGGGAAAGTGAAAAGAGGCAGTGAATCCTTGGCACACATGAAGTGCACCATGATATCAGCAGCCAGTGTGACTGTTTTGTCTCCCAGAGCGGTTGAGAAGCCCCCCTGAGCTTTAACGGATGTGGACACGATGAGGTGGCGCTGTAGCTTGGTGATGAAATGGTCTTCGGGGTGGGGGTTCAAGTCTGCATGACACCGGGCAAATGGCTACGTCCCCCTGCGCCTTGCGCTGGGAACAGCAGAGGAGCCAACCGCAGAGGGTCTGTGAGGATTACACAGATCAGGCTTTGGCGAAGGGCCTGACAGAAAGCGGGTGCTCCCTCAGGGAGAGCTGCCAGATCGAATGGTGCCGCCCCACACAAAGGACAGGCGGGCAGCCTCCCGGGGAGGGTGGGGCTGGCTTATAATGTAATTACTTTGTGAGCAGTGTATGTGGTCTTTGTGTAACTGAATCTTTGGTATTCTGTCAGATTTGCTTTTGGTCTAGTTTGGCATATTCTACTAGTTACCTACCCAAACTGCCCCTCTTCCTTAAAGTAAAACTAAAACTTCCTTAAAGTAAAACTGCCCCTTCTTGTAGCCAGAGGAGGCCATGCCTCGAATTCAAGTCAGCATGAGAGGTGGCTGGATGTGACTCCTGGGAAAGAGGTGGGAGAGGAGTGGTTTCATTGAGCCAGGTCCCTCCACTTGCCTTTTGTACAAACAGACATGCTGTCCAGACTAGGGGGGCCATCCTGGGACCACGAGGAGAGAAGCCACAGGCTAAAGAGAGAGGGCCAGAGGTCACAGCCATTCTGGTGTCCTAGCTGGTGTCTTAATGTGTCTGCACCAGCCCTGCACTGTTCATCTCTGATCATCTTGGTTGGTGAAAACGATGTACTTCTTACTGGTATGTGACATGGGCCCTTTGGAAGAGGAAGGGACCGGAGGGGAAGGGAAGGGAGGGGTTGTTTCCAGTTGAATACAGTTCCTAACTGATATGCTTAGTACATGGGCAGTTTGTGTAGTGCTTCGTGGGTGGCTGAAATCAATGTATTGTATTCTACATGTCTACATAAATGAGCATATTATCTGTGTACAAAAATTATTTGCACATTTGTTAACATTGGTGTCTGTCTTAGCTCAAGCTGGTATAACAAAAAACCACAGACTGGGTGGCTTATAAACAGCAGAAATTTATTGCTCCGTTCTGGAGCCTGGAAGTCCAAGATCGAAGTACTGGCAGATTTAGTACCTGGTGAGGACCTGCTTCCGGCTTCACAGGTGGCCAACTTCTCTCTGTGTTCTCACAGAACAGGAGTGAGGCAGCTCCCTGGGTCCCTTTTATAAGGGCACTAACCGCCACCCACAAGGGGTCCATCCCTAAAACCCATCGCCTCCCAAAGGCCCCACTTCTAGATACCGTCCCGTCGTGGTAGGCTTCAGCATGTGAAGTTTGGGGGACTTACACATTCAGTCCGTAGGAGTCCCTGATCTATCATTTACTGAAAGAGCTATGTTGAACTCTCCCACCATGATTATGGATTTCTGAAAAAATCTTGTAGTTCTGTCAATTTTTAGTGTCTCTGTTTAGAAGCAATGAAGTTAAATGAACTGGTCTTTTAAGATTTTAATTGATTTTTTAGAGAGAGGGGAAGGGACGGAGAAAGAGAGAAACACTGATATGCAAGGGAGACATTGTTTGGTTGCCTCTCGCACACCCGCAGCTGGGGACCTGTCCTGCAACCCAGACACGTGTCCCAATGAGGAATCAATCTGATGACCTTTTGGTTTACAGGATGATACCCAATCCCTTGAGCCAAACCACTCAGGGCTGATTTTTGATATTTAATAAATTTCTAGCAAACTGCTTCTAAAAAATGACCCTCTTTCTCCCTAGCATTGCATATTCAATTCATCATCATAACCAAAAATAATTATTTCGGAGTTAGTATTAATTGATAGGATTTCCCTAAGCTTTGTGTATTTTAAGTTATTTAGTCCCCACAGTGATACCGAGGGCGGTCCTTTTACTCACTCAGCTTCCTCATCTTCAACTCACCGGTGAGGAAGCTGAGGCCCAGCAGGAGGAGGTGAATGAACCGAGGTCATGCAAGGTCCACGCCCTCTCCACAGTGCTTTGCCCAAGGAGGCTGTTCTTCACTTTCACCCGTCCTCACACAGGTCTGTCTTTGTGTTTTAAATGAGCTATACCTTATGTAACAGCTCATCAATTTTAGTGCACACCTTGATGAATTTTACACATGTCTGTGCCACCACATGAGGATAGGGAATATTTTATCTCCCAGTCAGTGAGCCCCGTCCCTAGAGGTCACCCGTATTCTGAGTTCCGTCACCATGGATTTGTCTTTCCTGCTCACAGAAATGAAACCTCGCCGTACGCTCTCTTGTCTGTGTTTCCCCTTAGTATATAGTGTCCATGAAATTTATCTTTGTCACATTATGAGTAGTTGATTCTTTATAGAAATTGCTGTGTAATTTTCCATCATCTGAATATTCCAGAAAGTTAAAATTCTCTTTACGGATATTTGGGTTCTTTCCAGGTTGTACTGTTATGAATAAAGCTGCCGTGAACGTTCTAGTGCAAGTCTTTCTGTGGTCATGTCCTCCTTTCTCTTGGGTATAAACCTAGGAGAGGCACTGCTGGGGCATTGGGCAGGCATGTCTGTAGCTTGAGTGGATACTGCCAGACAGTTTTCCAAAAATGGTTCAAACGCTTCACACTTCCATCATCAATGAATGAAAGTGTTATTTGCTCTACGTCCATGAGAACACATCCTTGGCAACACAAAATTACGTTGACTGCCGATGTAATTCTAGCTATATTAGTGAGGGGTTCCTGTGTTGCGATTCACAACTCTATGGGGGCGGGTAAACAGTGCTGTGGCCGATGGTTGCCATAATTCCTTCTATTGTTTTCAATGTGACTCTTCTGCTCTCATTAGGAGGTGGAGTTTATTTCTCTAGTCCTTGCAGATAGGTTACCGAACAAAAGGACTCGTGGTGCGGGGCGGGGGTCGGGGGGTGGGGGGTGGCCAGATGCTGTTACCGAAACAACGACACCCTCCTTCCCCGGGACCCCTCGGTTGTGGGTCCTTCGCCCCCTGCCCTTGGAATTACGGCTCTGAATGTCAGTTTGGTGAAAAGGAAAAGGAACTATTTATTCAAAAGCTAAACAGGTTTGATTAATGGCTAAATGTCACCCTTAAACCTCAAAATCCCTTCAAAACAATCACCAGCACACACACCGTCCTGCCTTCCCCCCTTTGCCCAGTGAGGCCAGTCAGGCGAGTAAGGGTACCGTCCTTCAGAAGCAAAACAAAAGAACAGGAGTCCGGGCCTCGGCCAGGCAGGCCTCTCGCGTGTGTCAGCACCATCCGCTGCGTCGCCGCGATCTCCAGCTCTTAATCCATAACCATGGGGCACCTTCTCCCGGCCCACTAGCAAGAGTCCTTGCTCCCCTCTTTCTTCCCGCGTGGTCTTCACACTGTTCCCCAGAGTCTGTGTCCCTTTCTCTCTCCTGCAGGCCTCTCTCTCTCTCTCTCTCTCTCCCAGTTACCTTCTGTATAAAGTCTTTGAAACCTTTCTGATTAGCTTTGGTGATACGCAAAGTAACCCCCTTTGCATATGAGGAACGAAGCTATCCTGTTGTTGACATACAAAATGACGCTCAATGGCCCTGCTCAAGGCTCCCATCCCCCATGGCGGCCTGCCCTGGGGTGGGGAGAATATATTTTTCTTGGACACCCCAATCTCTGGACCCCTTCCAAATACCCTTTGGGGGGGCCCTGACTGTGCCCTGTTACAGATAAGCTTGCTCACATGATTTTTTTTAGCCAATGGAACATTACCAAACATGATGGAAGCCAAGACTCGGAAAACGCACATTGGGGTTTGCCCTGTTTTAGCTGTGGTTAAGACTCTTAAGAGCAAGGTGTGAAGAAGCCAGGGTCAGCCTCCTAACTGAGAGGCCACAGGGAGAGGGGGCTGTTGCTGGTGGTCAGCACCGACCACTAGACATGTAAGGAAGCCACCTTTGATCACCTGGCCCCAGGCAAGCCACCAGGTGACCGAGGTTGATGAGTGACCCTAGGTGAGGCCATCAGAACTGCCCAGCTGAGCTCAACTCAGATTGCCGACTCACAGGACCACGAGTACATGAGGTGGTTGTGTCGGGATAGAAAACTACGGAAGTTCGTGTCAGAAAGAGGATGCTGCTGCCACAGAACTTAAACTGTGGCATAGACTTTAGAATTTGACAGCAAGAAAGCAGCTGAAAAGGAGCGAAGACACTTACTGGCCGGAGACATGGTGAAGAAACTGCTTCTCGAGTTTAGGAAAAGGCGACGTGGCAGGGGAACCACTGGCAAAAATGTCGCCTGTGGTAACGTGGAAAAGAGAACATGCACTTGATGACCGTGTGGATCTGGCTGAGGGGAGGCTTCCTCCCAGCTCCGGCCCTGCGCCCCGTCTTCCTCACGAGGGCCTGGTGGTGGCCAAGTGGAGCCTGTAAGTGGGTGAGAACTCGCGCGCCATCTGAGGCTCTGTCTCTCTCCTCTTACAGCAGCCTGCACCTGGCCTTCAGCAACTGGTTAGAACTTTTAGCAGAAACCTTACCCTCTTGTGTGGTGGCGCTGTCTCCATCCTGCGCCACAGGTGATCAGCACTCTGTCCACCTCTCTTCCCCTAGATTTCAGGCCAGTCAGTGGCTTGTGGCTTGAGCTCTCTGAGGGTGTCAAGAAAGTTACGTTGTTTTGTTTTTAACTCCGCTGTTTTGCTGTGGTGGCAGCAAAGCCCACTGCATTTCTCCATCCAAACCAGAAGTCAGAGTCGGGTTCAGCCTAAATTACGTTTTTATTTCCTGTTTCCTTTGCATCCACTCTGGTTACACAAATTATACAAGAGAGAAAGAAGCACAGGCTTTCGCAGTAAAGAGCTAAGAATCTGATTCTTGGCCCTGCCAGTGGCTCGTTTTGTGACTTCAGGCAAGCTGTCTTATTGAATGACCCACAGATTGATGCCCATCTTACAGAGTCGGAAGGCCGTAGTGAGCTAGTCGTGAAGCTTCCTTTTGGGGACACAGTCGCATCCTTTGCGTCCTTATCAATTGGAAATGGGGGCCACCACCAGGTAGGCTGGCTGTACAGTCGCTGTAATGCCAAGAATGAAAAACAGAACTTGGCCCTGAGCGATGTGGTTCAGTGGATTGGGCGTCGTCCTACAAACCAAAATTTGCTGGTTCGATTCCCGGTCAGGGCACATGCCTAGGTTGAGGGCCAGGTCCCTGCCTGGGGTGTGGGGTGAGGAGGGCAGCCCATTGATGTTTCTCTTGCACATCTATGTTTCTGTCCGTCTCTTTTTCCTTCCTTTCCCTCTCTCTAAAAATAATTAAGCAAACTCTGAAAAAAGAAGAAAGAAAGCAGAATTTGGCCCTGGCCAGGCTGCTGGAGTGTTGTCCCATGCACAAAAAGGTCACGGGCTCGATTCCCACTCAGGGGCACATACCTAGGTTGCAGGTTTGATCCGCCATTAGGGAATGTATGGGAAACAACCAACTGATTTTTCTCTCTCTCTCTAATCAATAAACATATCCTTGGGTGAAGACCTGAAAAAACAGAATTGTGGATCTGAGAAAACATGAGGGAAAAAGCATCTCTGTTAGATGTTTCCTATGTGAGCTTATCTGGAAAACCCATACATATGGATTCCCCTCATCATTTATTTGGTCAGGAATATTTTTTACTTGAACCCAAGATAGAAGGTTCTCTCCAGCTGGGCTTGATTGCCTCTGCACCATGAGAAGCAGCTATTTACGATTTCTCCCACGTAGGTAGAAGTATAACCACATGTATGGCCGATGTCAAACGATCTGGGAATGTTCATGAACAGGAACAGCTAATGAATGCTGAGAAAAGTCTGAAGAGTGGCTGCCTTGAGAGGATGTGGAGGAAACTTTTGGGGGGACTGCAGATGTTTATGTCATGATTCATTACGCTGGGAAGTTATGATCTGTGCCCTTCCTGAACCTCATTGAATGTGTTCTATACCCAGTATAATGTGAGAACTGTTTCATCCACTTGGAGAATCCCTGCCACTTTTTTCTTTTTTCCTGAGTTGTTTTTGCATTATTTGGGGGAAATGAAAGAATAATGGGGGGAAAACAAGATTTCATTGCATATGTTAGCTTCTCAGAGGGAAGAGGCTGACACTTGGGTCAAGGGAAAGTGTTGGAGGTTATATGGAGATTTTTCACTTTTCTACCCACTCCTTTGATTATTGCAATAGGGTTAATTCCCAGAAATCTATGACCTCTCCCTCACCAGATGTGTTAACAGTCATGGGATGATATGAAGACAAGTGTGTAAAATTGAGAGGGACTTTCTTAAGATATTAACTTTAGTTTTTATTCTTTTTTTCTCTCTGGTGCCTGGTAGAATAGCTAACATACAGTAGATGATCAATATATGCTTTGTAATTTGTTTCCTGATTTTGAGAAAACATTCGTCACTCACCTAGTTTTAGTTCTTATTAGTCTGCTATGGGAAATGCAGTTTCTGACTAGTGGCCATGTCTGTTGGGCAACTTCTGTTTATAAAACTTTTGCTTAAACACTATGGAGATTGTGAAAGAAGCACAACTCTGAGAAGCACTAGTGCCTTCTCAGAGTTCAAAGATTGATGTTTACATACGATACACTCAAGAGTTCATGATGTAAACCAACTTGTGAAATCACATGTTATATACAAGGCCAGGACTCATATATTTCCTACTTTGTGGGTCACATTTGAGAAAAGGGCAGGATGGGAAACAGGAAAAGAAATTGCTAAGGAGCTTCGAATTCCACTCTCGAAAAGAAAAATTTGGACTAGATTCCTGGAAACAGACTCAGTCATAACTGATTCCTTTTAAAGTTGAAGAGAGTGGATTTCACCCCCTGACACTGCATTAGAGTATTAATGTAATCCAGAGGCAGGTTCGGCTGCCTGCCACAACAAAACCTGTGAGACAGGTGTTGGTGCAAAGGGAAAGAGGTAGACTCCGATCTCAAAGACCATGCCCCTTCCTGCTCAAGCCTGCGGTTGTCAGAGGGATAGCGAAGGGAGGGTTTTTTCTACCCAACTATCTGTCCAGCTTTTTGCAGGTAAGACCCTCCCCCTGGGCCATCTTGGTCAATGGGGGAGAGTCCTTGGTGTTTGGACTGATGTGTATGGTAACATTGATGCTAACATTATCAATACTAATAGAGATTAACACTTACTGAGCACATACAATGTTGTATTACTTAAGTAGTTTATGAGTGTTACTCATTTAATGCATACCACAGCCCTGTGTAGGAAGCGCTGTTATTACCTCAATTTTATGATGAGAAAATTGAGGCACACACAGATAGTAAGTGATGAAGTGGGAATCCCACCCAAGCAGGCTCGCTCCAGAACCTACATCCTCCGCTCAGGTCCAAGTCACAGGCTGCATTAATTTCCTGTGGCTGGTGTCATCATCATAAACTTGGTGACTAAAAACAACAGGAGTTTATTCTCTCACAATTCTGGAGACCAGAAGTCTGAAATTCAGGCGTTAGCAGGACCGAACTTCCTCTGAAACGCTGGGGGAAAACCCTTCATTGCCTCTTCTAGCTTCTGGTGGCCCCAGTGTTCCTTCGTTTGGCCACAGGTTCCCTGAAAAGGCCATGTGTGGAAAGGGCCCCCAAACACCAAAGGAGCCCAGAGACCAAAGAACCAGACAGACCAGCCGCCTGTCAGTTCATGAGTTGAACGGGGATCTTACGTTCAAAATGTGGTCCAGTGGCAACAGGACGTTCAGATCTCCACACTCAGCTCACACGCCCTAGACCATCCGCTTGTATCTCTCACTTAGAAATGAGCCTCCGTGCCAGGAAAAGAATGCAGAGGGAACACAGGGACCAGATACTGGGAGGCTCTGGTGCCAAGTGGAGGAGCTGGGCTCGGTCCAGCTGTCTGACTCCAAAACCCGCTCTCTCCTTGTATGTCTCAAAACAGGGAGCTCAGTAATCCTGGGAGGGAAATTGTAAAAAGCAGCAGCAGATTTCCACTAATGCCTGGATCCGGGCAAAGGCACTCTGACCTTAAAGGACTTTCTCCTTTAAGATCTACCCCCTCCACTGGGAGAGGTTGCGGTTCCTAAGATGTGTTCCTGGCATCAGCTGTCTGTGAATACTGTCTCCTTACCTGTTGCATCTAAGGTTCCATGCAGGTTTGTGCCTGTTGGGGACTGACTCCTAGGCAAGTCCCAGGAGGTGGTGGGGGCAAGAAGGCCGAGTGAACTTCAGACTCCATTCAAAGTGCAGGAGCCTGACATCAGGAGCCTGGAGTCACTGCTGGGAACTCTGTGCTGCAGGGTCAGAGACTAGTGAGGAGGCAGTGGCCATGTGGAGCTTGACTGTTGTCACCTGTCTGTCTTTCTGCCCCAAAGCTTTCTGTACTGCTGCTGTTGCCATTGGGAGCTGCAGCTCTGATCCCCAGAGGTGAGTGTGCCCACCCAGCCCCCTTAGCGAGGGAAGGTGGGGAGTCCACGCCAGGGCCTGGGTTTTTTCACCAACAAGAGGGAAGTGGGGAGAGGAAGCTTATTCTGCAAGTGAGTCTCAGAAACGGTCTTCATCTGGGGGTAGCCGCATCCATTTCTTCCTCTTAAAATACCCTGAAATTCCTTAGCTCTTCTTCCAACGGCAGCTGGTGCTGGTGTCTCCGTTCCTTGGGGCTTCTGGGCAGTCTCCATCCCAACAGTGTTTTCTGGTTGGAGGTGCCTTTCTTACCCCACGTTTTTGTTATCCGAGTTTCCCGCCTCCATCTGGGAGCTGTCCAGCAATCGCATGATGGCTTGTACAGGTGTACAGATCTCTGTGTGCTGGAAGGCGCATCAGAGATTGTGTGATCTCTGGAGTCCACAGCACTGGGAACAGCACTTTGTGAAGGAGACACAGGTCAAAGGAGGAGTGAGAGGAACAGGGCCGTGGTGGTGTCATGACCGAGAAATAGAAGGTGAAGAAGAGCTGGGGCTTTCGAATTAGAGCACATCAGTAATCTCAATCAATCGATGTCTTTCTCTCTCTCGTCCATATCTACATAGATATCCACTCCCCCACCCACACACACACAGAGAAAAGGTCATGTGAGGACACAGGGATGAGGCAGCCATCTACAAACCACGAGAGAGCTCTCATCGGAAAACAATCCTGCCAGAACCTCAATCTTGGATGTCGAGCCCCCAAAATCCTGAGAAAAGAAATTTCTGTTGTTTAAGCTGCCTGGTCCATACTGTTTTGTCATGGCAGCCCTAGCAGACTAATATACATGACCATGTAGGAAACGCAGAAAATATAGGAAAGGTGGACAAAGCACTGTAATTGTACCATATGGAGTACTAGAAAAAGTTTTGGGGGGGCGATATATTTTTCTCATTTAAAAAGACATATCAGGAGTATTTTTACTTATTAATAATAGGAGTCTACAACTCCTTTGCGTGTTGTTGAAGAAAGAGAACACCTTAGTTTTAGGCTTGCCAGGTTTTAGAGATGTTGGCCTAGCGTGATGGAGATGGTTGTGCTGATGGAATTTTTTAAATTTAAATCGTATTTTATTGTTTATGCTATCACAGTTACCCAAATAGTCGCCTTGCCCCCCTCCACCCAGACTACCCCTTACTCCCTCAGGCAATCCCCACACTGTTGTTCATATCCGTGGGTCATGCCTATATGAGTATGTTCTTTGGCTGCTCTGTTCCCTACGCTGCACTTTACATCCCCATGACTATTCTGTAACTACCAATTTGTATTTCTTAATCCCTTCACCTTTCTGCAGACCTCCTGACACTCCTCCCATCCGGCTACCATGAAAATACTCTCTGTATCTATGATTCTGTTTCCGTACTGCTTGTTTGTTTGTTTTGATGATTCAGTTATTGAGAGATACGTATTTATTACCACTTTTTTGTTCATATTTTTCCTTTTGTAATTTTTATTTTAATTTTTAAATCGTGTCTATTGTATTACAGTTGTCTCAATTTTTCCTCCTTTTTCCTCCCGCCCACCTCCGCTCCCACAGTCAAGTCCCACTCTGTTGTCCATGTCCATGGGCCATTCATACATGCTCTTTGTCTAGTCCCTTCTTTCCTCCATTGTCCTCTTTCCCCATCCCCTCTGGTCACTTTCAGTCTGCTCCATGTTTGCATGACTGTGGTTTATTTTGTTTGTTAGTTTCTTTTGTTGAATAGATTCCACTTACAGGTGCGATCATAGAGTATTTATCTTTCACCCACTGGCTTGTTTTACTTAGCATAATATTCTCCAGTTCAATCCATGTTATGCAAAAGATAGGAGTTCCTTCTTTCTGTCTTGTTTTTAAAATGCAGATTGATTTGATTTATTTTTTATATGTCAAAATCCATTATAAAATATTAACACATTGAAGTCCATTCTAAAGTCTCAGCAGTCAAAACAACAGGACACCAGCACAGAAATAATCAAGTAGATCAATGAACTACAATGAGAATTCTAGGAACAAATCTACCTATCTAACAATGTAATATATCATTAAATTGATATTTCAAATCAATGGGGAATATAAAGCTTATTCAACAAATAAAGTACATGGACCATGATTACTTGAAATAAAACAAACATAGAGCCCTATTTCACACATTATACAAAAAATGTTCAGGTGAGTTTTCAGTATGTAAGATCTAAGGAGTTTTAGGGGAAAATACAAAATAATATTTTTCTTAACCTGAAGTAAAATATTCAAACCCAGAAGCTTTAAAGTAAAATATTGACAATATGGCTATAGTAAACATTTAAGACTATAAAGTAATATACATATACAAAAACTAAAGGACAAGCAATGGAATAGGAAAGTATTTGCTACACATCTAGAAAAGGGTTAATAGTTGTTTTTTTTTTTAATTAAAGGTTCTACAAACCTTTAACCAAAAAATGGATAAAGAATACCCAAAAATCATTGAAAGCTTTTTAAAAATAATAGAAATAGACAAGAAATATACAAAAAACAGATTTAGTTTCCACAGATAAAAAAGTAACCATTAAAATGACACATCAGCCCCTGACCCGTTCCCCTCCCCAGGCCACCCCGTCGGCTCAACTCCCGGTGGAGAGCTAGGTTTCCTCCTGTTTCATAGTCAACCAGAACAGTGTTCTACGCACATTTTGTCCTCAGTAAAAGAGGGCCTCTGGCCAAGATTTGGCTAGCGGCCCACTGGGAGAAGAAGCTAACCAAAGCCCATGTGTTTGAGTGTAATCTAGAGAGCAGCGTGGAGAGCATCATCTCACCAAAGGTGAAGATGGCACTCTGAACAGCAGGGCACCTCTTCCTGGGAGTAGTTCGAATCTACCACAGAAAAGCCAAATACCTCCTTGCAGACTGTAATGAAGCATTCATTAAGATAAAGATGGCCTTTCGGCCAGGTGCTGTCGATCTGCCTGAGGAGAACCGAGAAGCTGCTTACAAAGCCATCACTTTGCCTGAAGAATTTCACGACTTTGATCAGCCACTGCCTGACTTAGGTGACATCGATGTGGCCCAGCAGTTCAGCCTGAACCACAGTAGGGTGGAAGAGAGAACGATGAGAGAAGAAGTTGGGAACATCAGTATTCTGCAAGAAAATGATTTTGGTGACTTTGGGATGGATGATCGTGAGATAATGAGAGAAGGAAGCGCTTTCGAGGATGATGACATGTTAGTCAGCACCAGTGCTTCTCACCTCCTGTTGGAGCCTGAACAGAGCACCAGCAATCTGAATGAGAAAATTAACCATTTAGAATATGAAGACCAATACAAGGATGACAATTTCGGAGAAGGAAATGATGGTGGCATATTCGACGACAAACTTATTAGTAATAATGATGGCGGTATCTTCGATGACCCTCCCGCCCTGTCTGAGACAGGGGTCATGTTGCCAGAACAGCCTGCACCTGATGATAGGGATGAGGATGATAATGTATCAAATGGGTGGGCCTGACAGACCCGATTCAGTGGATCCTGCTGAACCAATGCCAAGTATGACTGATCAGACGACACTTGTTCCGAATGAGGAAGAAGCCTTTGCTTTGGAACCTGTTGACATCACGGTCAAAGAAACAAAAGGCAAGAGGAAGAGGAAGCTGATTGTTGACAGTGTCAAAGAGTTGGATAGTAAGACAATTAGAGCCCAACTTAGTGATTATCCCGACATAGTTACCACTTTGGACCTGGCACCGCCCACCAAGAAATTGATGATGTGGAAAGAGACAGCGGGAGTGGGAAAACTCTTCTCCTTACCTGCCCAGCCTTTGTGGAATAATAGACTACTGAAGCTCTTTACACGCTGTCTTACACCTCTAGTTCCAGAAGATCTTAGAACAAGGAGGAAAGGAGGAGAGGCTGATAATTTGGATGAATTCCTCAAAGAATTTGAAAATCCAGAGGTTCCCAGAGAAGACCAGCAACAGCAACATCAGCAGCGTGATGTTATCGATGAGCCCATTTTGGAAGAGCCAAGCCGCCTGCAGGAATCAGTGATGGAGACCAGCAGAACAAACTTGGATGAGTCGGCCATGCCCCCACCACCACCTCAGGGAGTTAAGCGGAAAGCAAGCCAGATCGACCCAGAGCCTGTGATCCCTCCTCAGCAGGTAGAGCAGATGGAAATACCTCCTGTAGAGCTGCCCCCAGGAGAGCCTCCAAATATCTGTCAGTTGATTCCAGAGTTAGATCTTCTACCCGAGAAGGAGAAGGAGAAAGAGAAGGAAAAAGAAGACGAGGAGGAGGAGGAGGATGAAGATGCTTCGGGGGGGTGATCAAGATCAAGAAGAAAGAAGATGGAACAAAAGGACTCAGCAGATGCTTCATGGCCTTCAGCAAGCTCTTGCTAAAACTGGAGCTGAATCTACCGGTTTGCTTGAGTTATGTCGAAACACGAACAGAAAGCAGGCCGCAGCAAAGTCCTACAGTTTCTTGGTTCTTAAAAAGCAGCAAGCTATTGAGCTGACACAGGAAGAGCCGTACAGTGACATCGTTGCAACACCTGGACCCAGGTTCCACATTATCTGAGCGGCTCAGAAGCCTGTCGCTAGTGTTCATTTCACGAGTGTGCACAAATGGCCCCCGTGTGTAGGGCACACAAAACCCTTTAAGAAAGTCCCAATTTTTGTCTGTACAAAGTCTCTGCCTTTTTAATTTTTTCCAGTGTTTCAGTTTTATCAGTTTCCTCTTTAAGGGAAACTGCTCGTGTGGACCGTGTTCTGATGGAGAAAACAAGCACCCCGAGGACTCAGAAGATCATTTTAACAGTTCAGAACAGATGTGTGCAATATTGGCGCACGGAATAATGTTGAGTAGCAGTCAAAAGTCAGGATTTTTATCTGTGTTCTCCATTGGAAAGGAAAACTTGTCAGGAAAGACGCCTGACAGTTTAAGAATTCTGGTGTGAGTCTTAGAAGGAAATTGTCTTTTCCCATCAGTAACACTGGCAATCTTCTTGGTGGCCTCTGTACTGAGGCCTGGTGCCCAGGGATCGTCCTCGAGATCTGTTTTTAAAGTGTAATTCCGTCATGACCAAGGGGGTGTGGGAAATTGTGTTGTAACTCATCCCCTCAGCTACAAAATGATAGGACTTGGTTAGAAGTGTTCTATTTTATAAATCATTCCATGAATCTTTTGAATGAACCTTACTATCCTGAAATCTGTTGTTTTAGTCAGGCTCTAAAATGAGCAGAAATAGACTTTCTTAGAGTAGAATGAACTTAAACATTTATACCTTTCCAGGAGCTATAAATCAAAGTTTTAAAAAGATGTTTGGATATATTCGAGTATCCGAATCATGGAAATAAAAATTGCTACGCCAACTACAAGGACAGGCTGAGAGGAAATAGTACACCTGGTTGACTTAACCTTTAGGCAGACGATGCTGCAAAAATAATGGCTTCTCTGATATTTATTAGAAGTTTTATTACTGACCTCTTTTTCCAACGCTGCACACTCCGTGTTTGGAACTTTAATAGCTTTGCAACAGAAATCCTGTATCCAGTTTGCTATAATTTAAGTGAAGAGAAACATCCCAATAAAGGCTTTATTATTAACAGACCAGATAGCACCAGAAATAATGTGACTATTATGATTATCAAACTGTCTTAACCTTTTAGGGCAAAATTACACTGAAAGTTCTAGCTTAAGTCTTGGCACTTTTGTGGGGGGAAAAAAAAATCACTTTTGAAACTCAGACGTCAGTGTATATCCAGTAATTTAAAAGTAAGTGAAATGTTTTAAATCTGTGAACGCGTAATTACTGTTTTGATGATTGATTTTCTTGAGAATGGTAATTGTATAAAATTGCTATTGCAGCTTTATTTTCAATATAATGTGCCTGTAAACCATTTTTCTCCCTTTGTAAAAAGACATTGTAGATAATTGAATGTTTGATTATAGAAAAGTCATTAGTTCCTCGTTATACGCATTTTGTTAGTCTGGTTTTTGTTGCTTATTGGGTTTTAATATTGTTCCTGAAAATAGTTGATGCTATGTTATGTATAACTTTTCTAATAAAAGTTGTGTTACAAGCTGTAAAAAAAAAATAGCACATCATTGTCACAATCAGATTAATAAGTATAAAAATATTGGTAATATCTTGTAATGGGAACTGTGAAAGGAACTGGGTATTCACAGACTCTTTTTCTTCATCTTAAGGCAGTCCCTTTAGCATATTTTGCAATGTTGGTTTGGTGGGGGTGTATTCTTTGAAGCTTCTTTTGTCTGGGGAACTTCTTATTTTGCCTTCCATTTTAATTGAGAGCCTTGCTGGGTAGAGCAGTCTTGGTTGCAGGCCTTTGTTTTTCATGACTTGGAATATTTCTTACCATTCCCTTCTGGCTTGTACAGTTTCTGTTGAGAAGTCAGCTGCTAGCTGTATTGGGGCTCCCTTATATGTTGTTACCTCTTTCTCCCTTGCTTGCTTTAGAATTCTCTGTTTGTCTTTGACGTTTGCCATTTTAACGATGATGGGTCTTGGAATGGGCCTCATTGGGTTCCTCTTGAATGGGACTGGACCTGTGTGGCTTTTTCTCTCCTCCACTCTGGGAAGTTTCCCATCATCACTTTTTCCAACAGGTTCTCTATGCCTTGCTCCTCCTCTTCTCCTTCTGGTATCCCGATTATACGGATATTAGTACGTTTCAAGTTGTCCTGCATTTCTCTCAACACCTCTTCATTCTTTTTGAGTCTTTTTTCATTTTCTTGCTCTTTCTGGGAGCTTTGTTCTACCTCGTCCTCCAGCTCTCTGATTCGGTCCTCAGCTTCATCTAGCCTACTTTTGATTCCCTCTACTGTGTTCTGCAATGCAATATTGTGTTCTTCATTTCCTTTTGTGTCCTATTGATAGCTTCTATGTCCTTTTTCATGCTAAAATAGTTGCGGTAAGGTCCTCGTAGTTTCCCTGTTGTTTTTTGTAATTCTCTCTGAGCTCACTGAGCTCATTGAGCTTCCTTAGAACCATTGCTTTGAACTCAATATCTGATGGCTTACTTGCCTCTATTTAGTTCTCTTTGTGGGGATTCCTCCTTTCCCTTTGCCTGGGGGTTATTTCTTTGTCTTCCCATTATTTGTGAGATTCTTCTTTTTTGCCTCCGCTTCTTAAATGGATCTGTCTTGATTTCCTGACTTTGTGGTGTGAACTTCTATTGTAGGAGACCGCTGCTTTTTCTTTGTGGATCCGCCTCTGATGGTGTCAGATGTTGGCCCTGTCTGACCTTAGGCAGTCTGTATGAGACTTCCAGGAATCTACTGTCTGTGGCTGTCTCCTTCAGCTATTAATGTAGTTACTATGCCTTCAGCAGGCCAGCTTAGACACCACAGGGTGGGGCAGAGTCCCTCCTGGGGGCAGGTTATTGGGTCTTCTCACACTGCTGCCACTCAGGGTTGTGGTCTGCCCGAGTCAAATGGCTGCTGCCGTGTGGGGGAGGAGTCAGCTGCGGGATCCCTCCATCCGATCTCTCGGTTCTCTCCCCAAAGCCTCCTTCCCCAGTCTCTCCTCAGGTGTCTCTAGCCCACTCTGCCCCTACCTTTGCTGGAGACAAGGGTAAGTGGCTGCAGATAAAAATGTCTGTGTTGGCCTTGAAACGTCTCCAGCCGCCTGTCTCTGGCACAGAGCAACCCTGCCACTTTTCGCAGCTGGCTGTTATCTGTGTACTTTCTGGGCTCTGGTGCTGTAGGATGCAGATCCCCGCTTATGGTTTAGACCCAGCTCATCTCAGAAGCATCCAACTGGCTGTTTCATCATCCTTCTGGTGCTGCTGCCCATGGGTGCCCCACCCGCCTTCTCGAGTCTCTACCGCACTCCTTACTAGTTAGGTTGTGCTAAGGCTGATTCTTCTGTCTGTCCGAGGCAATAAGGCTCCTGTCTTGCTGTGGTTCAGTTGTTTGTTCCAGGTGGTTTCTGCAGAATTTAGTTGTAATTCCAGATTGGTCCTTGGAGGAGGTCAGACTGACTTCAACTCGCTCCTCCGTCATCTTGATTCTCCTCTATTGTCCATAATGTTGTTGTTGTTGTTCTCCTCCTCCTCCTCCTCCTCCTCCTTCTCCTCCTCCTCCTTCTTCTTCTCCTCCCCCTTCTCCTCCTCCTCCTGCTGCTCCTCCTCCTCCTCCTTCTTCTTTTTCTAGAAGACCCTTTCACATTTCATATAATACTAATGTGGTGATGATGAACTCCTTCTGCCTTTTCTTGTCTGGGCTGCTGTTTATCTGCCTTTTTATTCTAAATGATAGGATTGCTGGATGGAGTAACCTTGGTTGTAGTTCCTTGCTTGTCGTTATTTTGAATTTTTCTTGCCAGCCCTGCCAGGCCTGCACAGTTTGTCTTGAGAAATCAACCAGCGATCTTATGGGAACATCCCTGTTGGTAAGGAACTGCTTTTTTTCTTGCTGCTTTTAAGATTCTCTCTCTGTCCTTAACGTTTGGCATTTTAATTATGATGCATCTTGTTATAGGCCTCTTTGGGTCCATCTTATTTGGAAGTGTTTGAGCTTCCTGAACTTACATGTCTATTTCGTTCACCAAGTCAGGGGAGTTTTCTGTTATCATTTTTTCAAATGGGATTCCAATTTCTTGCTCTCTCCACCTGGCACCCCTGTGATGCAAATGTTGGTATGCCGGAAGTGGTCCGAGAAGATTTTTAAACTATTTTCCTTTTTTTGGATTCTTTTTTCTTCTTGTTGTCCTGATTGGGTGTTTTTTGCGGTCTTATGTTCTAAATCTCTGATTTGATTCTTGACTCCATCCCATCTACTCTTCATTCCCTGTAAACTGTTGTTCACCTCCGTTAGTAGAGCCTTTGTTTTTGACTGAATCTTTTTTATGGCTTCCACGCTTGTTTTTATGCTGTTGACGTCCTCACTAAGATCACTGAGCATCTTAGAACCAGTGTTTTGACCTCTGCGTGTAGCAGACCGCTTATTTAGTTCTCCCTCTGGAGTTTTGCTCCACTCCTTTCTTTGGGCCATTCTTCTTTGTCTCCTCATTTTGGCAGATTCTCTGTGTTTGTTTCTGGATATGAGGAAGAGCTGCCACAACACCCTGGCTGGTAGAGTGACCTATTGTAGTAAGTGTCCCATAGGGTCGAGTGGCACAGGTTCCCCTATCACCCAAACTGGGCACTTGATGTACACTTACCATGTGGGCTGTGTGTACTCCTTTCCTGCAGCCCAGCCTTGACTGCTGCTGGCCAGTCAATGGGAGGGATTTGTACTCAGGCTGATCAGTTGCAAGGACTGGCAGTGACCACTGACCACCCACAGCCAACCACTGTGAGGATCGGCTGTGCTAGGACCCACTCCACAGAGCAGAACCTGCTTCAGTAGGGCTCTCGTGCCCACTGAATCCACCCCATGGGTGTGTCGCTTGTGGAGGTGGTTTGGTGGTGGTGCTCCGACGTGGTCTGTAGTTGTCCCCTGGGTGTGCATGTTCTGGGGCCTCCCGGGAGGTGCAGCCTAAAGTCAGCTTCCCATGGGGATTAGCCCAGCGCTACCCAAATAAGCGACAGAGCAATCAACAGCTGGCTGCTACTTGTACTGCTCTTGGAGGTGCCCAAGAGTGTCCAAGCTGTAAACCAAGGCTAGCTGCTGCTAGTGTCAAGCTTGGGACCACTTACCAGTAGGCACAGAGCACACAGAGGTCAGAGGCTGTTTGTTTGAGAGAATCTGGGAAGATCTGCAGCATGAGCCAAGACAAGCCATTTGTATGGAAAAGCCACTGGAACAGCCTAGGTGGTCCCAAAAGTTGGGTGGGACATAGCCTGAGGGAATAACCACGGTGGGGAAAACAGTGTAAGCCCCGTTGATGGAGTGTCAGGTATGGTGCCCGCCTGCCAGCTCTGTGGGTTTGGGGGGTGGGAGGGCTCAGGAAAGGAACAATGGCCTCTGCCAGCACTTTTGTCTGGGAGAACGCTGCCTCCCGGTTCTTGCCCTGATGCCAGACAACTCAGTTTCTCCCGGCAAGTCAAGCCTCTGCTCCTGTGCTGGAGCTGAGAGGGAGTGAGTCTGAGTAAGTGTGTGCACGGGCCCTTTAAGAGGAGCTGCCTGAGACCCGAGCAGTTTGCCTTCCTCAGCCTCAGTCTCCAGTGGTTTTTACAGGCACAAGTTAACACTTATGTTCCTGGGCCTGGCACCTTGGGCTGGGAACCTTCGCTCTGATATCTGAGTATTAACTTCCACATGTGGCGTGGGACCAGGATAGCCATTTGGTTTGACTTCTGAGGACCCTGAGTGATGCTTGTTCTGTAGTTTAGTTGTAATTTGCACGTGCTTGTCCGAGGAGGTGAGCCGTGTCATCCCAGGCCTCCGTCTTGAACCTCCTGACGGAATGTTTATGTATCCAGGTGGCGGCGGCAGGGACAGCTACAGGAATCCACATGTGAGAATACGACATGGACTGAACACGGACTGTACCAATGTCAGTTTCTTATACTCTGGTGTCTCTTCAGATTGTATAAATCTTTCACCTTTTACCAATGTGTTTCTTGGTTTAGATATTGGACTGCCATTATATAGAAATGCAAGCCTTTCAGGAACGTGGGTGAATGGCACACGGGACCTCTTGGTACTGTTTCTGCAACTTTCTGTGAATCTATATTTATGTCCAAATTAAAACAAAAATATAGAAGCTTGTTAATAGGTAATAGATAAAATCCTTTGTGGGACCAAAAAGACCAGTAGAGTAATTCTTTCTCTTTGGGAGTGCTTTCTACATCAAAAAGAGAGAAAAATCACCCTCAAGGAGGCTTTTGGGAAGTTTATGCGTAATTCTATGGAACTAGTTAACAGGGAGAATTGTGAGGTATTGTTTGAAGTTCAATCAACAGGAAGATATTTAATCCCTTTTCTTTCATAACTTTGAAACAGTTTTAAATATAATTTTCTAATTCTACCTTAAGTCTCTTTTGAAAATAACAGTAGTAAATACTTTTTAAACCTCTAAAATATAATGGTTAGAGATTCCGAAAATTTCCAATAAAAGTCATATTTAACCATTATGGTGGGGAAAAAATCTTTTACCTTTCTTATTGTCATTTTTATTTTAAATTTATTTTTTTAAATTTATTTAATTTTTTTAATAGATTTCATTAATTTATGTCTACAGAGAGGGGGAGGGAGGGAGAAAGAGAGGGAGAGAAACATCAATGTGTGGTTTCCTCTCACATGTCCCCCGCTGTGGGCCTGGCCCCCAACCCAGGCATGTGCCCTAAGCAGGAATTGAACTGGTGACCCACTGGTACACAGGCAGGCGCTCAATCTACTGAGCCACGCCAGCCAGGGCTATGTATCTATTCTTGTTCCAGCACACTTGTCTCCATTTCCCCACCACCACTTTCCCCTGTCCCACCGCCCCCCACCTCCCACCCTCAATACTTCCCCACTTTGGCTTTGTGCTTGGGTCCCTTATACTTGTTCCTTGACTTGACCCTTCCCCTTCCTTTGCCCCATTAATCTCCTCCCTCCTTCCCTCTTGGAACTGTCCGTTGGTTTATTTCAATTTTGCTGGTTACATGTTGCTTGCTTGTTTTATTGATTAGGTTCCGCTTAAAGGTGAGATCATAGGGTATTTGTCTACCACATGAGTTTTGTGAGACTCGTGAGTTTTAAAGAAGTCAGCCAGGGATGAAAACAGGGGAGAGGAAGCATCTAGATTATCTGTTTCCTAAATCAGCTAATCAGAGACATCAGTGTCATTGAAACAGGAATTCTTTGTAACACTCACAGACCAGGGTCAGAGGCTCTCTGCGGCTGGCCCTGCTGGTGTCTGCACCATGGGAGACGGGCATCTCAGGCTGCTGCCAGGTAGGTAGGGTTATATCAGTGGCAACGGGTGACTGTCTGGGAACTTTAAGCTACCGGGGAACTCTGTGTCCAGTTTGAGAATTTTCTCTGTTTGTTGCTTTATTTCTGGTTTCCCTACTCTCTCTATAAAGGAAAGCAAGGAAGCTTTTGAAGAAGGATAGGAACTCAATTATATCAATGTTGAAAGGAGAAAGACACTGAAACTTATTCCCGGGGTGAAGATGGGGCCTTAACAGAGATTTCTCATTTTACCACCAGATTCCCCAGAGAAACAGAATATACAGCAGGTCCTGCAATAACATCATTGAGTTCCATGCCATTTCATTATAACATTGAAGAGATGCATAGGAACCTAACTCTTATGGAGAGCTATTAGCGTGTGGAAAAACTGGTTTTGCTATGTGCCAATTTGCGGCACTGACAAGAACGTATCACTAACCTTAAGTGAGGACTTACTGTACCGATTATATTAAGAAATGGGCTTATGAAATAGCGGAGACTGGGAAAGGCAAACGTTGCAGGGCAGGCTGACTGGCTGGAATCCCAGCAGAGGCTTCATGTTGCATCTCAAGTTCAAAGGCGGTTTGGACGTCGAATTTCCTTTATTTGGAAGCTGTCAGTCTCTTTTCTCCCGTCAGCTTTTACTGATTGGATGAGGCCCACCCAGATTATGGAGGGTCATCTGCTTTACCCAAAGTCTACTGATTTAAAAGTGCATCTCATCAAAACACCTTCACAGCACCAACCAGACTAAGATTTGAGCAAACATTTGGGCGTTGTGATCTGGCCAAATACATATGAAATATTAACTGTAACTCAACGGAATCTAATTTTTTTCAGAAGTGTATATAACGAAACTTTTTGAAAAACTCTAATTTGCTAAAGTACACACCATTGTTTAGTCTATAGAATTTATGTGTGTCATGGAAATACTTGAAGGATAACAACAGTGATGCAGGAAAAACTGATATTATCAAGTCACCTCGTCACCTCGGCCCAGACCTGCAAAAGAGGAGCACGTCGTGGGCCGGGGGGACTGAGGAAGTCTGCTCTCCGACCCCTGGGAGAACCAAGTGAGCGTGTAACTCTGCCTGACCTTGGATCTGACTTGGACACAGGTGTGTCTCAGGTAACAGGAAGGGAAAAGCAGGGACAGGAAGGAACCCTGCTCTTCATTTTCTTCCTTTACTCTTTCCCTTACCTGACTTCCATTGACTGCTTATTTTGTGCCAGGCTCTGTGCTAGCCCTTTACTAGTCTTCACTGATGTGCAGTCACAATAATGCCCATCCTGTTATGATGAGCCCTGTACCCATTCTGCATTGAGAAATTGTGGTTCAGAGAACAGGTGGCAATTGGAAAGCCGCACAGCCACCGGGTGGAAGTTTGGGACGCAGCCTTGGGCATGTCCGACTCCGAATTTGTCTCCCCGAGTGTCCTCTGTCAACTTACACAGTGTTGAACTGGCAGTACAGCCCGGGAGAGGAATTCGTCTTTGTCTCCGCCTGAGAAGACAGACTGTGTACAGGGGCACACAGACAGGGAGATGTTTTTCAGGTTCATGGCTCATGGGGATGGGCTGGTAGACCCTAACAGGTAGACTCATTACTGCCTGTCTCGTAGACTGTATTCCTCAGTACCCATGGTAATTTAGATGCCACAAAGCCGCTCAGTGCTTCATTCTCAGGGCAATGAGGGTAAAAGGTAAAAGGCTGAGCCCTCAGTACACGACAGGGAGGCCAGGAGCTCGTTTGGAAGGAGGCACAGAAGGCACAGCTCTCTAACTGGAGAGACTTCTTACCCAGGAGACAGAGTCTCTACCCACAGGTGCCTTGGTTCTCACTCCTCACTCTCATCAGCGCCCGTCCCTTGACCCAAGGCTCTGATCCCTGTGGACATTGTGAGCTAGGGCGCAGGCTGTGGGATTTCCCACTCCGAAATCTGCTGTTCTTGTATTCTGTGAAGGGGTAGCATGAACAGGGGAAATGATCCCTGAAGACAAATTCTCAGATGAGCACCGTTGCCAGAGAACAAGAAGCCGGGTCTGGGGAAACGGACTCCAATCTGACCACTTTCTCCTTTAAGGTGCACCCCTCCCCTGGGAGAGGTTGGGGTTTCTAAGATGTGTCCCTGTCATCAGCTGTGAGTATGTTCTGTCCCCTTACCTGTGGCACCTCAGGTTCCGTGAGGACTGTGTCTGTTGGTGACTGCCAGCTCGGGCAGCCCCCGGGAGATGGAGGGCAAAGACCGAGCCCTGAGTTCTCAGTGAAGAACAGCGGCCTGGGGATACGCCGCAAGCTGTGGGCCGCAGCGCCAGGCCCATGGCCGCCGGGGGCAGTGGCCATGTGGATAGGGGTTGAAACTGGGGCTCGACTCTGCTCTCTGTTTTCTCCGCCCCAGGACTCTCAGTGCTGCTGTTGTTGACATTCAGAGCTGCAGACGAGGCCCCGGGAGGTGAGTCTGCCCAGCCGTCCCCATTAGTGACGTGAGATTGGAGTCGTACTGGGGTCTGGGGCCTCTCACCAAGCAGTGGTGGAAAGGGGGCTTAATCTGCAAGTGAGGCTCAGAAAAGTCCTCTAAAAATGGGGAGAGCTCTTTTTCCACCTAAATGTGCAGGGTTTTCTGAGCTCTTCCTCTTCTGATAGCAGCCAACCCTTCCTTCCCTTCCTGCCTCTACCCTTGGACCCCCACTGGCGCCCTGCATTACTTGGGCCTTCTGACCGTGGTCTCCCTCCCCACAGCCCCTGCCTCCACGGCCTGTGCTCCGTGGTGCCCCCCGCAGTCCACGTGTGTCAACGCCACTGCCTGTCGCTGTCTTCCGGGGTTCAGCTCTTCATCTGGGGAGATCGTCACCAGCCCCTCGGAGAGCTGCGATGGTACAGAGGTTTAGGGGGGTGGAGGGCATACAGAGTTTGTGGGGGGAGGTTGTGGGACACCCCGATCCGTCATCCCTGAGAGCAGCACAGGAGCATTTTGTCAGGGATAAGGGAGAGGAGGCAGGGCCGGGAAGGAGGAGGGAAGTGGACTCCCAGGTTTCGTGATCAGTAGGTGGAGCGCTGAGAGCTTGCCCAGAGCAGCTGGGTGGTGTGGGTTCAAAACCAAGCTCCGCCACTGACTGGCTCTCTGACACTAATGCAATAATGTCTCCTCTCTTTGCCTCAGTTTGCTTGTCTGTAATTGGGGGTAATCACTGTAGGTACCTCACATAAATGGACTGAGATTTATACATTACCTTTGTGAGAAAAGGTAAAGACTACTAAGGAGCAAATGTCAATAAATGGTAGCTATTATTACTGTTACTGTTACTATTATTTTCATTGCCTGAAGAAAGAGGCAAAATAATGGGAGCAACGGGAGGAAAGAAACACCCAGAGCTGGAACCTCAGGCTCCCCTACCAGCTCGCGCTTCCCTGGAGCCCTGCCCGCCCACGACACGGCCCCCACCGCAGAGTCACGGCAGCCCGTGAGGGCGGCAGAACTCGGATGGTTTCTTAAAGGATCAAATCTGGGCCCAAAGACAGTGAGCGACTTGTGCAAAATCCCACAAGAAATAAAGTGGTAGAATCTAAGACCTAAATCTAACAAGTTTTTAGTCTTTAACCAAGGAGGATCACAAAATGAAAGTATAGTACCTTAAAATGATTAAGACAGTAAATTTCATGTTATATGCATTTTACCACAATTAAAAAACGGGTAAAAAGGATGTTATAGAGGAAATGGTCTTGATCAACACAAAATTTGTCTGAGATGTATACTTATTTAGAATAAAGAGTGCTCCTTATATGTTTGTGAGGAAAAGAAAAATACCTCCAAACATTCTGTAGTCTGTGCAGTGGTCTTATGGGTGAGTTTTGGTTCCCTCTTTTATCATTTTTGTCTTGTGTCCTAAGTATCATGTGTTATGTTACGTTTGGAGAAAGGTGGATTTTGTCAGAGCAAATGAAAAGATGGGGCTGTGACCTGGGCCCGGCCCACCCCGGGCCCTGGGGGGTTGCTGGTCCTTTGTGCCTCCGCAGGTGGGTGTCTGGTGGAGATCTGCAGGCGGGGTGCACGAGGGAGAGGCCCTGCGGCTCCGGTACCTGCGTCCCAGCCCCGAGCCGGGAGCCCCCCTGCCAGGCTGGGATTCCCCTTTGGCAAGTCCTCTCCTTGTGCTCCCCTCATTCCCAGCTCTCCCCCATTCGACGCCACCGCGTCCGCTCAAATTCGAAGGCAGGTCTCTAGCCACTGTCCCCATCTGAGACGGGGTAGAGAGGCCCCGATGCGCAGGCGGGGCATGAACACGGGTGCCTCCTGTCCCGTGCTGGCTGCCGACAGCCACAGCCCGGGCTGGGGGACTTGGAAGGGGAACCCACAGGTGTGGAGAGGGGAGCCTGATGTCGGGGAGACCCGCTCCCTGACTCATGACACCGTCCTAGAGTCCTTTCAGGCGCCAACGTCTTTGGTCACCTGTAGGAATGTATACGACCTACCATTTTGACTCAGCGTTTAGATTCATTCTTGTGTATGGGGTTCTTATTGAGTCATTGTTTTCAGCCAGCAGAGTCCTGCCCCTGCTCACTGGGTCCCTGAGCTACTCAAAGGGAACCTGGGCCAGTGGCATCTCTCTCTCTCGCTCGTGTTTAGAGAACAGGGAGATAAGATGACAGGAAACACTGCAGTGGCTCAGCTGTGACAGTTTCATGCTGCTTCCTCATTTCACATCTCTGATGGGCTCTGATAGGGGGAGTTTCTTCAAGGCTGGAGTAGGAAGTCTCTCCCTGAAACACCCCAGGGCATCTGCAGAGGGGCTGACATTGGGAGCTGGGGGAGAGCCTGACGAGGGGGGTGGGGCGCACTGGCCACCCTGTGTAACGGCAGGTGGAGGCCTCAATGGGCAGGGGCCCGACACCTGGCTCCATCCTCAGCTGTGAAGGATGATGTCACCCCGACGGCCCCCAGCCACGACTCCCTCCTTGACCACAGCCCTGAGGGTGGCCTTCACTGCCACACTCACCCTGCCTGGAGGCCACCCCCAGGTCTCCACTGGTGCAAACAGCACCGCATGGAGGGTGTGGGGCTGAGTCAGAGCCTCCGTCTACCCCCCAAGGCTTGGAAAGGGGGTGCAGCCCCCCTTCCAACCGCATCAGGACACAGCAGAGTGTGTGAGTCTGGGGGTCCCCAGAGGAGCCAGACGGCAAAGAGGAGCAGGGAGGCCAGCGGGCTCGGCAGCAGCCGGTCTGGCCAGGCCCGGCCCGGCCCAGCCCTGCACCAGGAGCGCCACCCTGGGCCTGTGTCCTGTCCAGTCCCCATGAGAGCGTCTGGCTGCGGGCCAGGGTCTTAGTCCTGTGGGAACTTCCACCGTTGGGAGGTGACCCCTTGTCCCGCTTTGTTTCAGACATCAACGAGTGTGAAGCCCCCTTTACAGTGTCCTGTGGGAAACTGGCAGAATGCCAGAACACGGAGGGGCGCTACTACTGCGTGTGCTCCCCGGGTTACAGGCTTGTTTCTGGGGCAACACATTTCAGTAACGAGAGTCAGAACACGTGTGAAGGTAAGAATGACTCCATATCCTCCATCTCCCTGTCTCTGCTGTTTGGGGTCAATGCCCCACTTCCTTCTGGCATCGGAGGGCCATCCTGGGCGCCTACCTGGTCACCCAAGCCACCCTCTCTGAACCCTAGGACTCAGAACCCTCCTCAGAGAGCCACTTCCAGATGTTCAGATTGTCCCTCCTGCCAACCTAGAATCTTATTTTTATGAACCAAGGAGGGGAATGGTACTAAGACACTTCACGAGCTCACAGCACGTTGCGTTCCAGTGCACCATCCATCTTCTCCCCCACGGTCAGTGACCGCCAGGGCTAGCCCTGCCCCCGTGTAGCCCGCATGGACGGGGCCACACCTGGAGCTCTCACACCCCCAGGCCAGATGGGCCCAGGATTCCCACCCACCATCGTGGGAGGAGGGGAGATCAAAGGCAGAGCCACTGTCCTGGGCCAGCGCTGCCCCTCGCCAGCAACCCCACCTGAGGAGATGCCTCCTGGCACCGTGTCTGCTCCGCCTCCGTCCGTTCCCCTGAGCCAGGCCCCTCCCACCCTGACCCTCCCCAACAATTTCAATTCTCAGACCTGAAGGCAGGGCGGATGACCGGGACCGAGGAGGGTGTCGTGTGGGTGGTGGGTGTGTGACGCTGACCCGGCTCCAAACTCAGATTGTTGAGTGAGCGAGGACGCTCCCATCAGGAGCAGATGACAAGGAGGGCATCGCAGGGGACCACGGTCTCAGGCTGGGCCCTCTCCCGAGGAGGTCAGCCCAGGCACCATGGGGCCCAGACCACTGGGGGACAGAAGAGAGAGACTGAGTCCCACTCAGGTTCTCAGAGCTACATTCCTGGTGGGATGTAGAGGGACGAGATAACAGAAACACCTGTCACCACTTGGGCTTTAGCACCAGCTTCCCTTCCAGTCACTCAGCCCTTGCCCACTGCTGGCCTTGCTCACAGGTGGGTTCTCTCCACTTCCTGCCAGTCCAGGGGACACCTTCAAATAAATCAGAAGAAAGTCCTTCCCCGCTGCGTGCTGACCGCTGCACACCAGCCCCACTTCCCACACAGTTATATACCTCACCATGTGCCCGCTACGTTAAGTCTACTAACCATTTGTCACTGTGGGACCTTAATGCACAATATTAACTATGTTGCTCTTCACCATTTTCACTGTCTCCATGCTCCTGCCTCTGGCAACCATCCATGTGACCTCTGTTTCTATGAGTTTGCTTTCCCTTTCTTTCGTTTGTTTGCTGCGTTGTTTTTTAGATTCTACATATACGTGAAACCATATGGTATGTCTTTCTCTGACTTATTCATTTAGCATAATACCCTCTAGTTCCACCCATGCTGTTTCAAATCGCTAGATTTTATTCTTCTTTTATTGCCGTGTTATAGGCCCTGCCCAAGGGTTCACCTCCCTGACAGGTCCTGTGACAGAGCAGTGAGGTGGCATGGCCTTCTGCACTGGGGGTTTTCTGTGCAGCACTTGTGAGCATCTCTGTCACTTCCCCTTCTCCACATGTCACAAAGAAGCCAAGGGATGTGTCTCTTCCTGTTCCCACAAAGGGAACATGGCCAGGTCCCAAGAGGGAGTAGGGAGGAGTGTTTTGTTAGAAAGTCCTGCCCACAACTCAGTTTCCCTCCTGGGTTTGCTACCTATGAACGGGAGACTCTGGTCTCTGCCGTGGCCATCTTGCAGGGAGGTGTTTTAGGGTGAAGTTGATGGTCACCAGGTGGTGGCCTGTGTACTAACGGTGAGGTCGTTAGTGCCAGGCAGTGAAAAGTGGGTATAGTGAGTAGAAGGAGGGTCTGATGCTCTGGTTTTCTCCTCAGATGTGAATGAATGTGCCCCGGGGCAAAATTCCTGTGACAACTCCACCTTCTGTGTAAACATCCCAGGAACCTATAAGTGTCGTTGCCTCCCTGGCTTGACGCCAGTTCCGGGGTCCCCCAATGGACCAATCAGCACCGTCTGTGAAGGTCTGTTGTTCAGATTTCATAAACAAGCCACTACTTCTTATTTTGCTAAGCTAGTTGAAAGGAAGCTGCCACAACGAGCTTTATCTGAAAAGGGGCGGCAGCACTTTCAGAAATGGTGCGATCTCAGTGCTGGCAGAGAAGAGAGGGAACCCCAGGTGAGACAGGGCTGAGCTTCAGGTTCTGTTCTAAAAAGGGCCGGAGTGCAGTTCTGGCGGCGGCAGAGCCCCAACCCACGGCCCAGCTCGCGGAGCGCTGCCAGTGCCCAAGCCTCCCTGGTTAGAAGCAGCTCATCAAATATCACCCCACCCTCGCCCACCATCCACTGCACAAGAAGGGGACCCAGCTTTGGGATGACACCTGCGCACATACAGTCCGTCCCTGGCCACTTTAAAGGGACACTGTGAGCTTACGGTGCTTTAACAGGATGCCATCATGAAATTGTATCCTGACAAGCCAGGTAGCTGATCAAAAGGATGATGTAAGGTGTCCCTTAGCACAGGGTACTGCTGAGGAAGTTGAGAGAAGAGGTAGGAAGGGTGTGCGCAATGAGAAGAGAGAAGGCTTATTCTCTGGTAATGTTTACAGATGTGAGAAAATGTCCTTCGGGAGTAAACCCGTGCCACAACTCGACCAACTGTGTCATCTCCCGGGGCATGTATAAGTGCCGCTGCCGCGCTGGCTGGACGCCTGCTCCTGGGTCCTTCAATGACCACGTCAACACTGTCTGTGAAGGTTTGCTGTTCAGATCACGTAGATATGACAAATTTCTTCTTCTTCTTTTTTAAGATCTAATTTTATTTATTTGTAGAGAAAGGGGAGGGGACGCAGAAAGAGAGAGAGAGACATCAATGTGTGGTTGCATCTCCCATGCCGACTCCTAGGGACCAGGGCCGAAACCTCGCCATGTGCCCTGACTGGGCATAGAACCTGCAACTCTTTGGTTCACAGACCCCCGCTCAATCCACTAAGCCATGCCAGCCACGGCTGACACATCTTCTTATTTTGCCGGGCCAGCTTAAAGCAAGGTGCCACCACTGGCTTTCTCCGAGCAGCGGCCGCCGCGCTTCCAGCCACGGCGTGCCCTCAGTGCTGGCAGTGAGGAGTGGGCGCCCGGGCCGGGCAGGGCCGAGCTCCTGGTTCTGTTCTGACAAGGGCCGGAGTGCAGCTCGGGGCGACGGCGCGTGCCTACACACAGCCCAGCTCGGGGAGCGCTGCCGGTGCCACAGCCTCCCTGGTTAGACAGGCATCATCGCACGTCCTCCCACCCCCATGCACCCTGCACCGCACGGGGAGGGCACCCAGCCTTGGGGTGACACTTGACGGGCACACTCTGGCCCTGTCCAGTTTGCAGGGACTCTCTGAGCAGCGGTGCTTTTAAAGGAGGAACTGCCATGACTAAATTGTACACTGAGGGGCTGGGTGGATGGTAAGCGGGATGTCGTGAGGTGTCCTTGGTGGGTACGGCTGAGGTGTGTGAGAGACGAGGGAGCGGGGGAGATGCGCAATTGAGGAGACAGAGGGCCTGACGCCTGGGCTTTGTCCTCAGACGTGGATGAATGCAGCTCGGGACAACACTCCTGCCACAACTCCACGGGCTGCGTCAACATCCCGGGCAGCTACGAGTGCCACTGCCACCGTGGCTGGAAGCCAGCTCCGGGGTCCCCCAGTGGCCCGGTCAGCACCGTCTGTGAAGGTTTGCAGTTCAGATCTCATAAATATGCCACACCTCCTTATTTTGCCGGGCCAGCTTAAAGCAAGGTGCCACCACTGGCTTTCTCCGAGCAGCGGCCGCCGCGCTTCCAGCCACGGCGTGCCCTCAGTGCTGGCAGTGAGGAGTGGGCGCCCGGGCCGGGCAGGGCCGAGCTCCTGGTTCTGTTCTGACAAGGGCCGGAGTGCAGCTCGGGGCGACGGCGCGTGCCTACACACAGCCCAGCTCGGGGAGCGCTGCCGGTGCCACAGCCTCCCTGGTTAGACAGGCATCATCGCACGTCCTCCCACCCCCATGCACCCTGCACCGCACGGGAGGGCACCCAGCCTTGGGGTGACACTTGACGGGCACACTCTGGCCCTGTCCAGTTTGCAGGGACTCTCTGAGCAGCGGTGCTTTTAAAGGAGGAACTGCCATGACTAAATTGTACACTGAGGGGCTGGGTGGATGGTAAGCGGGATGTCGTGAGGTGTCCTTGGTGGGTACGGCTGAGGTGTGTGAGAGACGAGGGGGCGGGGGGGGATGCGCAATTGAGGAGACAGAGGGCCTGACGCCTGGGCTTTGTCCTCAGACGTGGATGAATGCAGCTCGGGACAACACTCCTGCCACAACTCCACGGGCTGCGTCAACATCCCGGGCAGCTACGAGTGCCACTGCCACCGTGGCTGGAAGCCAGCTCCGGGGTCCCCCAGTGGCCCAAACAACACTATTTGCGAAGGTTCGGAGTTCAGATCTACCACTCAAACCCAATGGCCCACGAGTGAAACCATCTCATCAAATACTCAATGGCACCCACAGGCCCAGAGCAGATTGATTTGTGGGTGCCATGTGGTGCCAGGCATTAATTCTCTGAGGGTACATTGGAAAAGACCGGGGGGGTTCTGAGTAAGGAGCTGGGGTGTCAAGAGGAGACTCCGGGGGACGCCAGGCAGCAGCTAATCACTAACTGGGATGACGGTATTTCAATATCTCAGATCGTGTACAATTGTGTTGGGCTCACCTACTACGTGTCAGGCCTTTGCACACTTCCTGTAACACCTGCATCCACCACTCAGGGATGTGCAGTCACCAGGTGTCATCACTTCCAGCCAAGTGGTGGGGTTGGGGGCACTAACACGGGCAAGGGGCGGGGCACGGAGAGGAGAGGGGCCTGATCTGGCTGGGACAGGCAGGCCTGATTTCCTCCTTCATGTCCCCAGATGCGGACTTGTGCAGCTCTTGGAGGCATCCGTGTGACAACTCCACCTTCTGTGTCAGCACTCAGGGCTCATACACATGCCACTGCCTCCCAGGCTGGGTGCCCAAACCGGGGTTTCTGAATAAACAGAGGACTACCCAGTGCGAAGGTACCTGGCCTGATCTTAGACCCCGCCTCCAATGCACACAGACACTCTCACACCTAATGTGCCTCAATTCTGTCCCCTGCAGAGATCTCCTTCCCCGCCTGGACCCCTCCCCCTGGGATCAAGAGCCAGGTGAGAGACTCCAGCGGGGGCTGATTTCCCTGCTGCTGCTCCCGCACCAGCTTTGAGGCTCTCTGACCCCCACATCTCCTCTCTCCCAGAGTCTCTCCCGCTTCTTTGAAAAAGTCCAGGATCTCAGCAGAGACTTCAAGCCTGCCTCGCCCCAGGACACCATCAAGGTAAGGGCCGGACTGTGGGGGGACCTCAGGACAGTGTGGGGCTGGCTGGGTGACGCCTCCAAGTGAGTGAGGCAGCCCAAGCAAGGGCCTCCGATCGGACAAACCCGTGTGGCTGTGTGCACAGTATACACACACCATGTACATCCCCATCACACTAACACAGACGTACACTGGGACCCCCAGTGGCTGGAGCAGGGCCCTCACGCACACTCACAGTCAAGGGGGATGTAATGGCTACAGAATGGAGGAAGTGAGAGTTTTGCCTCCAGAGCTGACCCACAAAGGTTCAAATCTCACCTCCCACCGCCCCCCACCACCTACCCCAACCACTCTCTTCTGTGACCTCAGGAAGTAACTTGCTCTGGGTGGATCTCAGTCTCCTACTCCATACAGTGGTTGTGTAGGTTTCAATGAACTAAGAGAGGCTCAAAGAATAGTGCCTGGAACACAGTTAGCATTAGATATAAATTTTAGCACATGAACTCAGTCCGGTAGAAATATATGAGCCTCTGATGTCATTTTAAATATTCCAGTAGCTTTATTAAAAAAAAAAAAGGTAAAGTAAAAAGTGAAATAATGTGAAGATTACATTAACTCAACAGATCCAAAATATTATCACTTCAACATGGTACCACATGCGGCTCCGGGCGACTGTTCTGGACGGTGCAGACTTAGAACAGAACCCGCACATGTCAATGACTGATAACTGTTAAGTGCCGTGTTATATGTGCACACAGGCCTGCACTCGATCCTCCTACTTGTCTTCTGGCTACCGCAGTGTTTCGATTATTCCCCCATGCCTGTCCCCTAGGCAACCTGGGTGGCTCTCTGGTGTGTCCCCTGGTGAGGGACTGAGATCAGGGTCCTTGGGAGGTTCCTGTGGTTCAGTGACCCAGCAGCTGTCACCCATCACCCCCAGAATCTCATCAAGTCATTGGACAAGCTACTGGAAGACCCTGGGGACCTGGAGGCCCTGGCCCTCCCTGACCGGCACCGCGTGGCCACCCACTTGCTGTCACAGCTCGAAGAAGTTCTGAGGACACTGGCCAAGGCCATACCTGAAGCCTCCTTCACCTACCGTTCCCCTTCGGACACAGGTGAGGCCTCTTCCTCACAGGTGAGGCCCCGCCCCAGCCCTGGGCTCTACCCTGCATCCAGAGCCCCCGTCACTGCCCCTCTCCCCTCAGAGCTGTCCCTGATGATCCGGGAGCAAGGGAACGGAACTGTCACCGTGGGCCAGAGCCTCGCCCGGATGCGGCTGAACTGGGCTGAGGCAGTTGGAGTCGGGGAGTCTGGTAACAGCGGGAGCCTGAGGGGGCCTCCTGGGGGGGGCCGGAAGAGCTGGGCGTGAATAGGGGGTGAGGTTCCAGATGTGTAACAACTGGAAACGCCTAATTTATGCATCTGAGGAGGGAGGAGGGAGGGCAGTAAAGGCAGCCAGCCTGTCTGTCCCCCAGGCCCCACCGTGGCAGGCATATTCTCCAGCCGAAACATGAAGAAATTGCTGGCCAATGCGTCCTTGAAGTTGGACCCTGAGGAGAAAGTCCAGCTGGAAAAGATGCACGAAGGTCCCGTCAGTGGTGACCAGCCCAGGCTCCTGTCCGCTGTCAACACGGTCTTTCTGAGCAACAAGGACACGGAGAAACTAGACTCCCCTGTCGACTTCTCCTTCTCCCACCTTGTGAGTCCGTGGGTGGGGAGGGGGAACCGGCCCCACTGTCCACCCCATAGCCAATGTCATGGCGGCCCCTCCACCGTCTCCATTTCCCACCTGCGGCCAGTCATCTGCTTCCTGAAATGCACCCCAGGGCCTTTGCACTTACTGTGCTGCCTGCCTGGGACAGCTTTCCCTCACGTGACTCAGTCCTTTACCTGTTTCTAGTCTTTGTTCAAATGCCACCTTCTCTTTTAGGCCTCCCCCCCTTTTAAAATGACAACCTGTAATCAGTGATGCCCCACCTTTCTCCTGTCCTGCTTCTTTTTCTTCTTTTCCAATAGCACTTAGCACCTTCTAACACACTGTCTCGTTTACTTATCTCTATGGTTTATCATTTGCTGTCTGTGTCCCCAGTGAGCACATCAGCCCCACAAGGGCAGGGCTTGTGCCTGCTTTGTTCCCTTCTGTGCCCCTGGCTGGCACACAGGGCAGGTGCTCAGTAAATACTTGTCGGTGAAAAGCAGCCCTTTCTCATTTCTCCAGCCCTGACACTAACCTCTAACCCTAACCACCCCACCTGCCCACAGGTGGAGAAGTCCGGGCCACGGCAGGAGCTAATCTGCGCCTTCTGGAAGGGTGACAAGGACAGTGGCGGGTACTGGGCCACCACAGGCTGCCGGAAGCTGGGCAGCGGGAATGGCAGCACCACCTGCCGATGCAGCCACCTGAGCAGTTTTGCCATTCTCATGGCCTACTATGACATGGAGGTGAGAGCCCAGGGCCACCCTCAAGGCCCACAGGCCAAAGGCTGGCTTAGCTGAGACAAGCAGCTGGTTCTTGATGCTGTGGCCCAAGTGGTTCTGTTTGGTTGCACAGCCCACCTGGCCCATGCCACCCTTCTCCCACCCCACCCCTACTCCAGACCCCTCCCTGGGAACCACAGATCATGTCGCCATGACTCAGCAACTAAACAGTCTTCCCTGGCACTGGAGGCTCCCCCATCCCCAGCTAGTGCCCCTCTTTGACTACCGGACTCTGAGCCTGCTCAGTGGCCGGCAGCAAGTCCTGAGAGAGCTGAGCAAGACCCCGCCCGATGGGCCATTGACCTTCAGGGCTGCTGCCGGACAGGCAGGTAGCGGGCTGCCCCAGGCCCCGCCCCAGGCCCCGCTCGCAGGCCCCCGCCCCACTCGCGTGCCCGTCGCACCACCGCTGGGAGGTCACGCTCCCTTCTCTGTGTTACTCTCCTAAACATATTAAAATAAAAGGTTAGAAAGGAAATGAAAGAAACTGTCAATAATACTTTAAACATTTTACCTCCATTTTCTTTATCATTTTTCACATTTGTTTTTTTCTCCCTGACTCTTTCTCTCACCTACTTATACTAAAATTAATATGTATTTTTTGAAGTTCTCCTCATGGATTTAAGATGGTTTGAAAAAATAGGCAGGAAATATTTCAATCTTTTTAAAAAAGCCATCAGAGCACAGTACTTTCCTTCTTTCCCCAAGGATCTAACCTGCAGGGAACAGGTGTTGCAGGGACGAGGTGAGTGAGTCCGGGGTGGGAGTTGATCCCTGGATCGAGCCTCCAGGTGCAGACTCGGTCACAGAACAACACAGAGCTGTGTGCGTCGGTGACCCTCACATGGTGACCTGTAGCTTAGTCATGCCCAGAAGTCTGAAAGATAATAAACCCTGAGAATTCCAGGGCTTGGTCTTGAGTGAAGACTCTCCTATATCTCAGTATTTCTGGGGTCTCAATTAATGAGTTCAGAACCCCTCAAAATGATAACAGTATCCATGATTATCACAAATTTACCTGCCTCCTCCGTTTCTAATTTTGTAGCATCCTCCAAACACACCTGTCCCCTTCCCCCGCCCCCACCCATATAAAAGTGGTGGAAGGCCCATTACCCCAGAGCAGGAGAGTGTGACCTACGTCTCCTCTTTGCTGGTCCCAGGAGGAGGATGCCGCCCTGGCTGTGATCACCCAGGTGGGGCTGAGCCTCTCCCTGCTGTGCCTCCTCCTGGCGGCCCTCACCTTCCTGCTGTGCAAAGCCATCCAGAACACCAGCACCTCCCTCCACCTGCAGCTCTGCATCTGCCTCTTCCTGGCGCACCTGCTCTTCCTCACGGCCATCAACAGAACTGAGGACAAGGTACTGACGCCGTCCCAGAGGACCCTCGGACCTGTCCAGGAAAGGCTGAGTTCTGGGACCATGCTGCATTAGACCCCTTCATAAAATGTCCTTGGGTTCTGGGAAGGTTAGAGGGGTGAGAGGCCAATTTCACATTGACTGGCCCAACCAGAGGCCACACTCTCTTTGGACATTCCCTTCATAGACAACCGAGGTCTCCCCAATAGCAAGGCTTGGGAGAGGTCCTGGGGCCGTGCTCCTCCCTAAGTATCCCACCTGGTAACTCTAACTTCTCCCCCAGGTGCTGTGTGCCATCATCGCGGGTGCCTTGCACTACCTCTACCTGGCCGCCTTCACCTGGTTGCTGCTGGAGAGCCTGCACCTCTTCCTCACCGCACGCAACCTGACGGCGGTCAACTACTCCAGCGTGAGCAGGTTCATGAAGAAGTTCATGTTCCCTGTGGGCTACGGAGTCCCGGCTGTGATTGTGGCCATTTCTGCAGCTTCCAGGCCTCACCTTTATGGAACAGCTGCCCGGTAAGGGCAGATTTTGACTTCATCTTCTTCACCATGTCTATTCCCTTTGTAATACCAACATAGCATTTGATTATGACAGGTCATATTAATAGAGACAACAAGTGGTAACCCTTAGGGCATCTTTTAAAATGATTAAGGAGAGTGACTTTAAACCTCTCCTTGAGATAAGAAAGGTAAAATCTACAACAGTGCTCAGGAGATTATTGGAAATAATTTAACCTGCCTCTTTGTCTAAATCCTATAGGAGCTTCTGATTTCATATTTGGAAGAGTAGGGCTATTTTAAATAATTTAAAGAACAGATTGTATTATAGTTGAGATTTGCATGGTGCTTACTCTGTGCCAGCCACTTTTCTTCTTGTTTTTATATTAGTTGGCAGAATTCTTCCTCACACCAGTACTGTGAAGTAGACACCGCAATTTGACCCATTTTACAGATAAGTCAATTGAGGCACAGTGCGTTTAAGTAAATGCTCAAACGTGAACAGCTTGCAAGTAGCAGAGCTGGGATGCAAATCCAGGGAGTCAAGCTGCAGAGCTTCATGTTTTTAATTTCAGCTGTTAATACTAGGTTAATGCTTTTGCCCATTTTTGAAATATATTTCAAATACCATAATATTCCCTCCCTTAGACAGTACAGAGCAGTGGTTTTGGCAATAATCACAGAGTGGTGCAGCCGGCACCACAATCAAATTTCACAACATTCTCAACTTCCCGAAAATGCACTCCCCATTCCTACTCCCCACTCCTCCACCCCTGCCCCTGAACCAGGAATCTCCAGGGACCTGCCTATACTGGATATTTCCTGAAAACGAAATCATACATATCATCTTTGTAACGGATCCCTTCACTTAGCATGATGTGCTCACGATTCATCATGTTACACTTAGTATTATGACCCCATTATTTGTTATTGTTGCTGGTGTTTTTAAGTAATATCCCATTACATAGATATTCCACATTTTTTAAATTCATCCATCAGTTGAAAGACCTTTGGAATGTTTCCATTTTTTACTACTATGAAAGATGCTGCTATAAACATATATGTACAAGTTTAAAATTTCTTAAAAATTAAATTTAGCGTGGTGACATTGGTTAATAATATTCTATGTTTCAAGTATACAGTTCTCTAACACATCATCTGTATACTGCATTGTGTGTTTACCACCCAAAGTCAAACTCCCTGCCATCACCATACACTGACCCTGTTTACCCTTACTGCCTCCTCCCATCGCCCATTCTGGTAACCACCATACTGTTGTCTGTGTCTATGAATTTTTGTTTGTTTGCTTGTCTTGTTTGGTGTTTTGTGGCTTTCAGTTTTGTATTCTACATATGAGTGAAATCCTATGGTTCTTGACGTTTTCTTTCTGAAGTATTTCGCTTAGCATGGTATTCTGAAGATCCTTCTATGCTGACGCAAGGACAGTACTTCATCTTTTGTTAGGGTTGAGTAGTGTTCCATTGTATGTCAGTACCACATCTTTATTCAGCCATGTATCAAAGGGCACTTTGGTTGTTTCCACATCTTGTCCACCGTGAGTAATGCTGCAATGAACATAGGGATGCATATATCTTTGCAAATAAATGTTTTCAGATTTTTCTGGTAGATACTGAATGGCAACTTACTGAGTGGGGGAAGGTGTTTGCAAACAACACCTCTAATAAGGGCTTCATATCCAAAATATATAAAGAGTTCATACAATGCAACATCAACACAAAAGCAAACAATCCAATTAGAAAAAGGGGAGAGCCGGTAAACAGATACTTCTCCCAAGAAGACACACAAATGACCAACAGACACATGAAAAGATGCTGAACTTCTTCAGTCATTAGGAAAATGAAAATCAAAAACATCAAAATGAGATGTCACTTCATAGCAATTAGATTAAATGGTTGAAATGAAGACAGAAAATAGCAAGTGTTTGCAAGGATGTAGAAACATTTGAATCCTTACACAATGCTCTTTGGAATGTAAAATAGTGCAGCCACTTTGAGAATGGTTTGATAGTTTCTCAGATGTTGCACACGCATAGCTACCACTTGCCCCAGCTGTCCCAATCCCAGGTACATAGCCAAAAGAAAGGGAATCCATGCCTACAAAAATACTTATACGTGAAGACTCACAGCAGCATTATTCAAAATAGCCAAAAATGGGAAACACATTCAATGTCCATTAATTGATAAGTGGATAAACTTAATGACATAGCTATACAATAAAATGTTATTTAGCCATTAAAAAGGAATTAAAAATATTATTCAGCCATGAAATTATACTGCAAGATGGTGAACCTTGATTGGAAACAATTGGCTGGGTGACAGACTCCAATCATAACATACCACATATCGTATGATTCCCTTTATGTCTAGCACAGGCAAGTCCGTGGAGACAGAAAGCAGATCAATGGTGCCGTGGGGCTGTGGTGGGCAGTGAGGTGCATGGATGCAGGAATCAGGACTGGCTGCTAGTGTGAATTTTTTGAGGAGTTTTAATTTTCTCTCTCGCAGTTGAAAATGTTGTAAAGTGAGATTGTGATGATTGCACTATTCCGTGAGTTTTTTAACGGTCACTGAACTGTGCAGTTTAAATGGGTGAAATCTCTGGCATGTGAAATACATCGCATAAAAGCCATAATTTAAAGAAATTCTGTAGATAGGTGTTATAGCAGATGAAAATTGTGACTTGACTAGCGCAGGAACAGCCCATTAAGTCATGGTAGATTCCCAGGACTTTCAGAACTGTTCACACACATAGAGACTCCTCCTGTGCATCAACACCTTCTCAGTAACATCAACGCATTGCTCCAGTCTCAGCTCAAATGTAATTTCCGTACGGATGCTTCCCTGACCATGCTGATTTCCTAGACCCTAAACTAAGCATGACATCCAATGAAACTTTCTCTTAGCCACCCATTTTTCTTTTTCTGGGCAGTGTGTCTGATTGTGCGCCTCCTGCCTGATGTGATTTGTGTGGGACTTAAGACCATGTTTACACTCTTCATGACTGAATCTTCAGAGCCCAACACGGAGCCTAATACAGAGGAGACACTCAGTAATTGTTGATGAATGAACCAGTGAATGGGTTTACATAATTGTTCCATATTTCGAAGAACCAATGCATTTTTTTTCTTTTTGCATTCTGGAGTTTATTTTCTTTTTTCTTTTTGTTTATTAATCTATGTTATAATTTATATATTTTATTGTTTATGCTGTTACAGTTGTCCCAGTTTTCTCCCTCTGCCCCCCTCTACACGGCCCTCCCCCGACTCCCACAGTCTATCCTCACACCGTTGTCCGTGTCCGCGGGGCCTTCATGTGTGTTCTTTCCTAATCCCTTCACCGTCTTTCGCCCAGTCCCCACCTCCCCCATCCCTCTGACAGCTGTCTGTCTTTTCCATGTACCTATGTCTCTGGTTCTATTTTGCTCATTAGTTTATTTTGTTCATTAGTGTCCACTTCGGAGTGAGATCACATGATATTGACCAATGCATTTTTTTATTCCCTCTCTCTCTCTCAGCTGCTGGCTCCACCCAGGAAAGGGATTTCGATGGGGCTTCCTTGGACCCGTCTGCGCCATCATCTCTGTGCGTGAGGCCATCGGAGCGTCCCTAACGCTCAGCTGAGGCTCATCAGAGGAGCAGAATTACCAGGGTGTTGGGAGGGGGGAATGACTGGAGCAGGAATTTCCCTGGGTTCTGATGGGTTTGCTTTGGTTTTCTAAGGCTGCTCCTAAAACTACTAACTCTGACACTGTTACTACATGCGAAACCTACTAAAGTGAGGAATTGCTGTTGGACAGGTCCGGCTAGAGACAACAAGTTAAAGGTGTACTCACTCACCGTTCTGTTGTTCCCGAAGGTCAATCTAGCTTTCTTTCTGATGACGCTCTGCATTTTGAAAAGCAAACTCTCTTCCCTCAACACTGAGGTGTCCACCCTGCGCAATACAAGGTAAGCTGGAGAAGAGGGTGACGTCCCCAGAGTCTCGTGTGGTCCCAATAGCAAGTCTGTGTGTTTCAGCAGCCCCTGAGGTCCTTCCTCCGGGCTCCGGAGGGAACCTGGTGTAGAAAGATGCATGGATCCTCCTTGGCCGCCAGCCCGGATTCAGTGGTGTGCGGCCGACTCCCGGGCCACAGTGCTCGTCTCTAACCCCAGCTTGTCACTCCCTCAGCAGCAGGAAGAACTGATGGTGGTTGATAAACATTCTTTGGACTTTTGTCAGCAGTCCTATGACCAAAGTACAAAGGACCTGCATGCACTTGGGAACATCTGAGTCTCCTCCCACCACCCAGCCCACACTTCCATACCCCTGTCAGTTCAGGCTCCTCCTCAGCCCCTGCATATTTCTCTGTCTGGAAAAAAATCCTATTGCAGGAGGTGTAGGCAGTGCCTTGTTCCAGGAACTCCTGTGCAAATTCAATACTGTTTCTCGTAGGTCCCTATCAGTATCCTCTCTAAGTTTTGCACGACAGTATTTGGTTGTATTGGGGATTTGGACAGCCTGTGAGCTTTGTGAAATAGGATCCTGCCTCTGTTACTTTCACCGCCCAGGCCCCAGCACAGAGCCTGCCTGACGCACAGGACAGCCTCAGCAACGTTGGTTTAATAAAACCGTTGAGCCTTATAGAGTTTTGGAAACCTACATTATGTAGTGTGACAACCCTACTCAATCCAGTCTAAATGCCATCTAGTACCAGAACGACATTTCTATTGCGGGGAGTCATTGACAGGAAAGGTCAGAGCTGAACACAGCTCAGTCTGTGAACCCATCACCAACAGGGGCAGGCGGGCAGGAGCATCCGTGGGGTGGAGATGAGAGGGGCCTTGATTCTGTTGCTCTGGGTGCACCACGGGCCTCCCTTCTCCTCCTCCCCAGGATGCTGACGTTTAAAGCAATGGCCCAGCTCTTCATCCTGGGCTGCACGTGGTGTCTGGGAGTCCTGCAGGTGGGCCCAGCTGCCCGCGCCATGGCCTATCTCTTCACCATCATCAACAGCCTGCAGGGCGTCTTCATCTTCCTGGTGTACTGCCTCCTCAGCCAGCAGGTACCACAGTCCGACCCCCACCCACACCCTTTCCGTTCTCACTGCTCTCAGTGAGCTGACTCAGGGCGTGCTTTGCCTCTGCAGGTCCGGGAGCAATACAGGAAATGGTTGGGAGGGGTCAGAAAAGCCAAAGCGGACTCTGAGAAGTACACCCTCTCCAGCAGGGCCACGTCTGACGCTTACAGGCCCATCAGGGTAAGGTCACGCCCTGTTCCCAGAGCCTGTGGCTAACAGATCCACTAGGGTCGCTCATGCCCATCACACGGGACACCCTGGGTATATAGCAGGGGCTGTCCTATCATGGCTCCCACGGGCTTTACTCTTTAACCCTTAACCATTAGCATTAGTTTCTGTTAAAAAATGTGTATTTTGCTCTTACTCTTTAGGAAGTGTGTTCATCTTGACTTTCACATGTTAGCAGTCTTATTGAACACCTGCCTAGTGCCATGCTTGCTTTTCTAAATGAGCCAGAACCAATGATCTGAAGCAGGGATGCACATTCCACTCTGAGAGCCACCTTATCTTATCCTTTATCCACCTCTATTTCATGGTCACTCGGCACCACCCAACAAAAGACAAAGATGGGGAAAATGATGTACATATTTAAGAATTAAACAGAAATATGTGTTTGTTTTCATTTTCGACATTCTTAGGAAGGCTGCCTGATTATTTTCAGCACCCTCCACCCACTGTATCACCAGGAAGGAGAAGCTATAAGTGCATGGGAAAATTCCTGGCAGTAATTACTAAGAACCAACACTAGCTTAGTTATTAAGTTCTTTTTAATAAAAACATTTTTTTAGAAATGGATAGTTCTTTTACTTACATTTCTCCCCTCTTCTTTCATCTTCCACTGAACCTCTCGAGTTTTCTTTCCTAGTCAAAGTGCCCTACTATGTTCCCAGTAAGTGTTTCATTTCTCTCACCTGCTCACCATCCTCCACAAGCACTGGTTTCAGAGTTGAATCTTCTATTTCCTGTCCCTCTCTCAGCAAATACTCTCACCACCTGTTCCACAGAGAAAGTCCAAGTCACCATGATGGCTGTGAACTGCACGCTCTCACCGCACCACGCACACGTTAGTGTGCAGCCTCCTCACGTTGCCGTGTCGTCACCTCTATTTCCCTTCCCTGGAGACAGCTATTCCAACTGCATGTGAATCCCATCATACATACCTCATCAATTATTCTTATTTTATTGTTCACATCCTTTCACTCTCCTTCCTGTTTCAACTTTCTTCCTCTATTTCCCCCTTCATCCTTCCTTCACCTTCTGAAAAGTATTCTTCCCATTGTCATAGAAACATGTTCGGTTCTTTTCCATCTTACAATCATGTATCACTTGGCATACCTTTTCCTTCTAGCTACTTACATATCAAGAGTTCATTTTTCTCTGTCTCTATTTCCTTGCTTTAAATTTACTCTCTGAAATCATGTGAATATGCCTTCTCTCCTCCATCATTCCACCAAAGCAAATATTTCTTAGGTTTACAATGATCTCCATGTCCCTAAAGGCCTCTCAGAAACCCCTTACACTATTTATCACTGATTCTCATGAAACACACCATCCTTATCCTGTCTAGATTCTATTTCCTTGCCTATCCTTCATGTCTTTCTTCTTTTCTCTCTTTCCTTCATTCCTTCATCCAGTGGATTGTTTCCAGAACAACTTCAATTCTCATTAAATCCTTTCTTCCTAGGCAATAGCATTCATTCCTTAGATTCAGTCACCATATAAATGCAAATGAAGGCCATGTATGTTTCTCTAGCTCTGACTTCTCTTCTGAGAACTTGAAGAGCATTTCCAGCTCCTTACTTGACACCATTGATTTCTCCAAGGCACCTCGACTCATCATTCCAATATGAGACTCACAGTCTTCACCCCAACCCTATCCTTTTCCATGGTGTCTTTCTCTCTCTGAATGGCACTGTATCTGTCATGTGGCAGAAGTTTGGAACCTGAAAGTTACTCTCAACAATTATTTCCCACTACCACCTACCCACTGGACAATCCCGTTGTTGGTGTCTTCTCAGGAGGTCCCCAGTGTGCCCGGCTGGCCCAATCTCCACCCCGCCCACCCCCAAGCCAGGCTGCCGTCTTCACCTGCCCGAACCACTGCAACATCCTCCTGACTGACCACCCCTTTCCACTCTTGTCACCTCCCAACGCCTCTCTCCACAGAAGTCAGAGGGATCTTTTCAAAACAAACACCACAAATCATGTCACTCCTGTGGGAAACCTGTTACATGTACGTTCTCTTGTGTTCAGTTCTAACTAATTTCCTGAAGTACAACATATAAATTCTTGAGTAGGGAGAGACATGTAAAATTGCCCGCATCAATAGCGGTTACACCGAGCTTCCTCTAGACCTAAGAATCAATAACTCATATTGGTGATGAAAAGGATGAGAAAAAAAACAGAACAATCCAATGCTTCTTCTTTTATGTCCTCGGTAGTGGACAAAAGATAACCTGTCTGACCTTTCATTAATTTCCCACCTGCCCTCTTTTGTGACTCCAAACATAAAGTAACATTTCAGAAACCTTGAAGCAGAGGGATCAGGACATACATTTTAAAAGAGAGAGACCATTTTTGTAGTACATTCAGTTGTTCTTATTGTCTGTAACTTGGGGTTTAAAAATATAGGGAGAGGAAACTTCTTAGAAAGCCCAGGTCTAGCAAAATACAATTGATATGGCCTTTTCTTACCCTGAGCAATCCATCTGGCAAGGGAGTTTTGTGATTAAAAGCTGCTTACATTTCTCATTTCCTTCATCAGAGGAAACTTTCAAGGTGTCTTTCCATAGTTTTATATTTCTTTTCTACAACTTTGTCTTTCAGGTTAATTAAAAGGATGCTTTGATCTGTATTGTCTTATCGCATGGAAACTCTGAAGCGTCATTCTTTGAGCCATTGAGAAAGGATAAGAAAACTTCATGGCGTGTTTCAAGAAGCCCTTCTTATCAGCAATGTGGCAGAAGTAACGGTGGACATGCTTAAACTCAATTCTTGCAAAATCTGGCATTTTTCTGTGCCCTACAGTGTACCCGGAAATCTCAGCATGTAAAATGCCAGTGGTGGCCCAATTCCTTGGTAACTTTGAGTTAAGTTACAGGAAAGTCCCTTCTTTCTACAAAGACTTCCAGAGAGTAAAGGTTTATGAGCATGAAAAAGAATGGAATGTTGATGCTGTAGTCTGGATTTCCTATTTTTTGTTTAGTATTTCTATGGGTTTAATTGTTTGCTTGTTTAAAATTATTAATTACTACCGTGTCTAAGGAAGAAATCAAGAGAGACCCAGGCAGGTCCTGTCTTCATGGAGCTTTCAGAGGGAAATAAAGTAATTTCTGCAGCTACACTCCTTGTTTGCAGATCATTTTACTATTATTATTATTTTATTTTATTCTTTTCCTCACCCGAGGACATGCTTATTGATTTTAGAGAGAGGAGACCGGAGGGAAAGAGAGAGGGAGAGAAACATCGATCAGTTGCCTCTGGTATGGGCCCTGACCAGGGACCAAGCTCGCAACCTAGGCATGTGCCCTGGTCAAGAATGGAACCCGTGACCTTTTGTTTTATGGTACGACACTCTAACAAACCGAACCATACCGCCCAAGGTAGACTTCTTGACGATAGCTATTTTGACAGGTGTGAGGTGACAGCTCATTGTGGTCTTAATTCGCATTTTTCTGATGATTATTAATTTTCAGCGTTTTTTTATATGTCTATTGTCATCTTTATGCCTTTTGTGGAGAAATGTCTATTTATGTCCTTTGCCCCTTTTTAAATCATATTGTTTGTCATCTGGGTTTTGAGTTATAGGAGTTCTTTATAAATTTTGAACGTGAACGCCTTATCAGATGTATCATTGGTGAATATGTTTTCCCACTTAGCGGGGTGTCTTTTCATTTTCTTGGTGGTTTCCTATGCTGTGGAAAACCTTTTTAGTTTGATATAGCCCCATTTGTTTATGTTTTCCTTTTGTTTCTCATGTTCAAGGAGATACATCAGAAAAAATACTACTATGAAAAATTTCCAAGATTTTATTGCTCACGTTTTCTTCTAGGATATTTATGGTATCAAATCTTGTATTTCTCTTTAATCCACTTTGAGTTTATTCTTGTATATGGAGTAAAAAGGTGGTATAGAAATAAACCCATGTCTATACAGTCAATTAATGTTTGAGAAAGGTATAGAGAACATACAGTGGGGTAAAGACAATCCAGTCAACAAATGGTGTTGGTAACATTGGACAGAAACATGCAAAAATATGAAACTAGATGAATTATTTGTAACTACTTGGTTTTCACTCCAATCACTTCTTTTAAACTCTGCCATAAATAAGCCAGTTCTCCTGATAATCTCTGCTTGAATGGTCCTGCCTTTCCTTAGATTTTTGGTTACTTTGTTGTCTTTTTACCTCAGCTGTGTTATGGGTTCAAGAACTTAATGATTTTCTAGTTTATATGGACTTTTCTTATTTTTCGGTTGGGAGCAATCCTCATTTCCATTTTTGTTTGCTAGGCAGAGAAGTTCAGATCTCTCTTTTTTCCTAATGTTTTAATAATTTGATTTTATTGTTAACTTGTAGATTTTAAATCCATCCCCATATAAACATGCAAATTTGTAGGTTTATATGTTAACTATTCACAGAACTCGTTTTGTGCAGAGGAAATGGCATTTTCTGCACATCTAGGAATTTGTAAAGGTTTATATTAATAAATTAAAAACGAATTAATATTTTTTTTGCTTTTACTCTAACTTGTATTTACTACCAAATTAAAGAGAATTTGGACTGGTACAATAAACATGCATATGCTGTTCACCTGGAGTCAATAACGACAAACGTCACTATAATCCTTTCTTAATGTATGTACACACATATACATGTTCTTGCTACATTTGATAGTGGCAGATATCGTGACACTTCAGTCTTTGATATTTAATCATCAAATATTGAAGAATTTAAAGACTATTCTCTACATAGCTATGATACTCTTATTACACCAAAAAACACTATTTTTAAATTATAGTTGACATCCCATATTTATTAGTTTCAGGTTTACAACACAGTGATTAGACATTTATTAATAATAATTGTAATAGCTGATACATGTAGATTTCCCATTGCCTCCAAAACATTTTTATGGTTGTGTCTTTAAATCAGAATCCCCATAAAACTGACATTGAATCTGATTATTGTGTTGCTCTTGCCTGTTTTCTAGAATAGCCCCGAATCGCTTTTTTAGAAGATAGTAACCTTTTCTTTTAAGATGATATTGCCTTTAGAAGAGTCCAGATCACCTGGCTTGTTGAATGACCCATATTCTTGATTTGCCCGATTGCTTCCTCGTGATGTCATTTAACTTGTCATTCTGTTCCCTGTATTCCATGTGTACTGATACTTAGGTCTGAAAGAACAGACCCCAGCAAGCTTTTTCTGTAATGCGCTAGTTAGTAAATATGTTTTGGCTTTGTGGCCTTGCAGTGTCTTTCACAACTACTCAGCTCTGACAGTGTAGTAGGAAAGGAGCCCTAGACAATGCAGCCGTGAGTGACTTTGACTCTGATGTGTTCTAACAAAACTTTATTTACAAAAACAGGCAGATGCCAGGATTTAGCCTGCATGTTATAGTTTTCCAACCCTTGGTCTAAAGGCTGGGTTAGATTTAGGTTGGACTGATTTGCAAATAATTCTTTATTTACCACATGTGGGATGTTGACACCTCTCATCTTATCAGGACATATATAAAGTCAGGTCTCCACCTGTTGGCAAGCTAATAAGATCATTAAGTTCAGACCTCCCTGCTGTACATGCGCACTTTGGCCCTTGTGATTAATCAGTGATCTGTGAGGTGAGTTTCTGGCACTGCAGGACTAGCTTTTCACAGCGTGTTTTAGTGCTGTTTACTCAGTATTGGAAAATCCCTATTTTCTAGTTCTGTCCTGTCTTTTACAATTATTGGCTATTTTTAGGTATCACTGTGGACTCATCAATATTTTCAATGTTATAAGCATTTACAGCCACTTCCTATGGTGTTCAAATTACACAAATGCGGTCTGTGGAAACCTACAGGAAATGTCTTTCAGATGCAATTGCTCTGGAATTAGATGTTGCCTGCATCACATGCTTAGCATGAGATAATATGTAGAAATACAACTTGCACGATGTGCTTTAGCAATATACACCTTTTCCACAGCTCAGTTTATAAAATGTAAAGATGTAGAGGCTCTATTGATTTTACTCTAACAATTTTTTTCTGCAAGAAGCTCTGTGAAATCAGGAACTAGGATCTGTGTGTAGCACATGGTGAGCAAGAAAACTATTTTTTGAGTGAAAAATTAGTAAGTCTTTACATGAAGAGTGAAGAAGTCAAGGCATGTAGGTATGGAAACCAAATACAGGTATTTAACGTTACCTTCCTTTTTTATGCTGTTATAAGAATTACATTTGAGGATGGTTTTCCTTGTTATATATATTTAACTTGAGGGAATTTGTGTAGAAAAACAGGTTGAAGTGCAGGGCTTAACCCAAGACAACTGAGGAGCTGGGTCATAGTTCCTAGGCTGTTCTGGGAGTGGGCTGAGCACGCTGTGTGGACCGGGAAACCCCAATTCTCTAGGAAGTGAATGTCAAACATTTCCTGCACACTCTCTCCCACAATGGTGCCAGGATCAGTTACTTGGAATGGACACAAAAAAAGTATTTTCTGTACTCGTTGTCCAAAGGATGACAGGCAGAGGGGAGGCTTCCTCCCAGCTCCGGCCCTGTGCCGCATCTTCCTCATGAGGTCCTGGTGGTGGCCAAGCGGAGCCTGTAAGCGGGTGAGAACTCACGCGGCGTCTGAGGCTCTGATTCTTTCCTCTCACAGAAGCCTGCACTTGGCCTTTAGCAACTGGTTAGAAATTTTAACAGAAATTTTCCCCATTTATGTGATGGTGCTGTCTTCATCCTTTGCCACAGGTGATCAGCACTCTGTCCACCTCTCTCCCCCTCGATTTCAGGCTACTCAGCTGCTTGTGGCTTGAGCTCTCTGATGGTGTCAAGAAAGTTATGTTTTTGTTGATTATTCAGCCTTTTCATTTGCTGTGGCAGCTACAATGTCCACTGCATTTCTAAATCCAAAGCAGAAGTCAGAGACAGGGTTCACCTAAATTACACTGTTCTTACAATTGTTTATTGGACTTGATATTTTCTGTTAAGTTCCCTGAGGTCAGAGACCACATGAAGCCTGTTCAGTGTGACTTCCACTAAGCCTAGCCTTGTGCTGGATAGAAAACAAGCTTTTGGCATGCTTGCTGAGTCTGTATGAATTTGTAGGCGGGTAATGCTCCCAAGTGGAGTATGTATGGTCTCTGAGCCCAATAGGCTGCAGGCTCCTGCAGGCTGCTTCCTCTCACCCGCAGAGTCAAAGCCACTACTTTTTAAATTCCCCGCCCCACCCCGACCCTGGCAATCTCTACTCAGAGTGGAGAGAACATAGCACCTGGTGTTCATGGAGGATTTAAGAATAGGGAGTTCCTAGGCACCTGACTCAGTCTGAGGCTGTACCCTTAGATCCTGGGATGGGACAAAGGAAGTGTGTGTGAGGATCTAAGATAATCTTAAAGACTGATCCACCTGTTAGACTTTCAAAGGACGCTTTGTCCTAAGACGGGTACTTCTGCAATATGAACTAGAAGGGAAGGTGAGCATATTGGAAAGCCAGGGACCAGGTGGCGGCCAAGGTAGGCAGTCTTTTAGATAAGGTTTGAGACCCTTGTTTTGCTATTATGTTTATTACCTTTTTTTTTTGCAATGAAAATACAAAACTTTGCTGGTCAGAAAAGCCATCGGTTGGTCCATTTTATTAGATTCAGTGATAGCCTACAGAAGTAAGTGGTAGCTAAGAGGCAATACTGCTAATGGCGTCTACTTTTAGTTACGTTTTTAAAATCAAAATGTGTATGTCAGCTCAAATATTTTCACACATACTTTTTACCTCTAGTCACAGTATCTTCCTTTGAAAAATATTTTAATAAAGGTTCTTCAATCAGAAAAAAAATCCATGCTCCTTACTCATGAAGCCTGAGATGGTGGTGGTGCTTCCCTGACGTGGATGGCAGAGGGGAGCCGAGGTGAGAGCCTGTAGGCAGCACACGCCCTCATCACAGGGATTTCATACCAGCTCTGTGCAGTGCCAGGTGGGAGGCCAGCCCTGGATTTGGAGTCCTGTGTTTCCCACAATACGGTGCCTCAGGAAGAGACCATGCCTTTCACCGGAACAATGGTGAGTTAGGGTCAGTCTGCACAAGGCTTTGCTACTTGGTCTCTCAGAGTCCTTGGTTACCTGACCGCTTCAAATG